TTATTTAGTGTAGGTCGGCTGACCTACTATTAGTTTTTCCGACCTACTTTTAGTTTATCCGAACTTTTCCGAAGGGTCGGCTGACCTGTAACCTGCAGCAATTTGACCTGAACCATCAAAACTCATTTACCACTTCCACCACTATTGTTAAGCGGCTCAAATCGGTTGGGCGCCCTGTGGAACCTTCGAGGTTATTGCTTCATCGGACTATGTCTTCGATAACTGGACAAAAAAAGGCTCGAAAGTCTCATCACGGCTGCTCCGAGTGCAAACGTCGAAGTGTCAAGGTATCATCTTCCGGTCTAAAGTTAAAGATAGGTTTTCTCACATCAGGCTAAACCAGTGCGATGAGAAGCGGCCGCAATGTTCTAATTGCGAGAATCGACGGACCACTTGTCGTTATGCGAGTTCTGGCCCGTGGCTCTGGGCCAAATCTGACGGCTGCCTTGACTTGACAACGGCAAGTCCGGAGGCGATAACTTCGCCCGATCAAGCTGGGTCAAGCCAATATGTAAACCAAACAGTGACTCAGTATCCTAGTCAGAGGACATTAATTGCCATGACCCAGTTCAATATACAACATCTCAGACTGCTGCTGAATTGGACGACCTCAACCTGCCATTCCCTTTCTCGAAATCAAACAGATACTGAGGTGTGGCAAAGGGTTATTCCTCAACGGGCCTTGTCTTGTCCGTATCTACTACACGGCATTTTTGCCGTTTCGGCACTTCATCTGGCTCTTTCTAGTGATTGCCCAGGGAAAGAGCAACAAGCTTTGATCGAAGATGCAGAGCACCATCAGAGCGAAGCAATCAGGATGTTTACAAAGATTGGTGATCAATTGGGACCATCAGAAAACGTTGAAAGCTTTGCTCTGTCTAGCCTTTTGATTGGTTCTGCCTTTGCCTTTCCTCTGGCCGTGGCCAAACAGTGTCAAACTAGGGCCAGTCCGCTAGATGAGCTTATTGGAGTGTTCATGCTCATACGAAAAATGATCAACTTCTCAACTCCCATGATAGATGGCCTCCAAAAGAGCGAGCTAGGCGGTCTTCTCATGGTTGAAGGGGTACAAACAAGTCTATCTAAGTCGTCTCAGCTGGCAATCACGGCTCTCCATGAAATGCTAAACGCAGCGTGCTTACCAGGACATGAGAATTATCAGATTTTTACTGACGCTATTGATTGCCTGGAGAAGCTACTTAGCAAGGTAGACGGTGCAGTAGAGATGGTTTCAGGGAGCTTCATTTGGGTTTGCGAAGTCCCAGCGGCATTCATTGATCTTCTCAGGGGACACAACCCTTTTTCACTAGTCATCCTGGCTCATTACTGCGTTGTCCTACATCAGCTGAGGGAACGCTGGTGGATCTCATCCTGGGGTGAACGCGTGCTTGATGTTATCGTAAGAAGCCTGAGCCCTTCTTGGAAACCATCTGTAGCCTGGGCTCTTCAAGCAGTTAATGCACATTATTAGTGACAGCAGCAAAGGTTTCTTTTTTCCAGACTGGTCAGTATTATTTGGGGTGTACCTATATACAAAGATGGATATAATTGCATATCTTCTGGTAACAGTATGCGAAGTTATTTKAGTTAATTTCGGCGACTGAGATAGATTTTGAGTATGATACAGCTGCCATGACGAGAAGTTTTGAGTAACTTATTTCCCATTGACATCTTCACTAGGCGTCCAAAAATCTTACTCACCATTGACATGGCTACCGCCTTCATTTGGACGCTTCGCCATATACGAAATGCGCCTGCGAGGACATCTGTCATTCACCACAGGCATTCTCACTGCCATGTATAAACTCTATCATCTCCGGAAAACCCACGCGGTGACCCAAGAATATCTCCCGATCTTGTAGGATTGCGCAACGGAGTACCATACTCCGAAGGCTGGAGTCGCTTTTTTATTGCAGTAATAGCCGGCTCCATCTTATTCAGAGTCGGCCAAGTCATCTATGCTAATCGCCAAGGTTCTGCTTGTCGGAGTGAATGATTAGGCGGAGGGGAATTCTGCAGCTTAGCATCTTTGGTCCAATTATGCTATCTAGTTACATATGTCGTGGGGACCACATTTTCGCGAAGGGAGCTCTGGGAATGCCACTTTATGCGCGGTGTCGCATTGATGCACATGGTCGACAAGTCAGGCATCGTCGGAGCAGCTTGACAACTCTAATGACCAACCAGGGTATTTCTGCGTCCATGATTTTGGCGACAAATTAAAGCACATACACGATGAACTGGATGAACAAAATTTGAGCACAACTCCTTACTCCAAGTCCGAGTAATAATCATCATCACCGTAGAGGCACCGTGCGTTCCTTCGGACCTCATTCATATCCACGTAATCCAGCCAGCTGCTATACCAATCCAAGAACTCAGGAATAGAATCAAATCGTGGATACCGCCCGTAAAGTGTAGTTGGGTTTCCAACATCAGCCCGGAAGAAGGAAACACGCCAGGCCCAGTCTTTGAGGGATGGGTCAGAGTCATCATCACACCGACGACAGTATAGATAGGCGCTGTACCATTCGTCGTGTTCTGCGCGACTGCCAAGGCCAGTTTGAAATCCAACCTTGACTTCCAAGTCTTCATCCACAGTGCCTTGAATAAATGTCTCGTCAAGGATGCTCTCTTGTAGGTATTCTTTCAATATCTCCCGGGAGGTTGATACTTCGGGAGTAGGCCGCGCAAGCACAGCCGCGCTCTCTGGGAAGGCATACTCCTTCCTCCCGACAGGAGGGACTGGTGCAAATGGAGAGATACCTGAGCAGCGGAAATCTGGATCTTGGACGCCATTAGCGTATTTGATGAAGTGCCCTAGTTCGCGGCACATCGGGATGTCGAAGTCCTCATCCTCGTCCTCGCCCTCTTGATTCTGTGCCATCGCATCGTTGCATACCTCCTTCAAAACCTCTAAGTACATCTGCCGCCATTCATCAGTTATTAAGGTTGGCGGGATGATTCCGTCCATGTGCTCATGATAGATAGTTTTGACATCTTCTAGCCGTGTAGCATTTCTCGTCTCGCGAGATTGTCGAACAGGACCTAGAGGGGCCCCATCATTCCAGCTTTCCTCACCTTTGGCGCCTAAATTCGGCCAGTATAAGCGCATCTCTGTTAATTTCTCCTCTTCAGTAGAGAGACCCATGGCTTCGATCTCGTCGATACGGTCTTGCAAAAATCGCCGATTGGAGGACTCCATTTTGGCTCGAAATTGTTCCACGGCCAGACGCATAACCTCAGCAGGGTCTGTATCAGATGATTGTATGCCGCCCGCCATGGTCAATTGTGGGAAAGACTTTAGCTGGTGTCCTGTGGACAATAATAGAAAGCAGGAGTGACGTTGAGAGTGTAGGTCAGGGAGAGCAACACAGCTAGCGTATTCAAAATTGGTGTCAGTTCTTGGCGCGATTTCGAATCAAATTTCGCGCAACTCTACACTTTTTCTCCCTACAAGCCTACATAGCTATTTCCAACGGTTTGAAGTATATCCATGGTGTTTTAATGATTGCTAACTAAGTAGTCAACTATAGAAGCTACTAACCGCCCCCCTACCTCCCCCCCTAATACATCATTAATATCTGCGTGCAGCCTACCCCCGAAGCAATACTCCTGAATACTATAAAGGAAAGGAGGTCAGCAGGTGTCGAACCATGAATAATTTCAGAAAAAAAGGTTTATGACACCTGTTTAGCATATACCATGCCTATACTATATTCTAACATACCACTACCACCCTAATTTTCAACCCTCTCCGACCGCGAAAACTAACTACTAAGGTAAAGGTTTGATTTTGAATAGCATTAAATTCAGATTGTATACCTACTCTGATCCCCCCTAATATCTATAAATCTATGCTCATCATATACCCCTTCTACAAAGGACAGGAACATCGTTTTGAACAACGAAATTTCTGCATCATCATCCTGAGTTCCAAAGAGAATGGTCGCCCGCGGATGGGGATTTTCTGTCCGTCTTAGATGTCATGGCAGACGATGCATAATTGAGACGCTCCCAGACTGATGGTCTGCTTGTCTACGAGAGGGGCAATAAAGCTGGTCCTGGTATCATGTGAAGGGGATTGATTCAGCCCCCAAAAATCAGGCGGAACTGTTTCGAATTTCAATTTCTCCACTAGCTGCATAGTTTGCTCTTTCGGTTTCTATGGAGGGTCCAGAGACAACACTGTGATCGGCATACCGCTTGGCGGCGCGAGAAATAGACGGCTAGGATCGGCTCGAGCCGACTAATGACTTGACTGACAATCCTTCTTGGCCCAGTTGCGAACGAGCTATAGGATCCATGAGCATTGACGGGAGAGCAACACTCGTACCATTCTGCCAATGGAAACCCCTCAAGGGCATCATATCGAATGATATTTTGGTTGGGCTGTACGCCGTGGGGATTCTCCATATTCAATGTCGCGCACTCATGACTACTAAGGAGCTGTCAAGGGTGCAAATTCTTGAAAGTCTATTGGCCAATGCAATTGCCGTTTATGAGCCGAGGTATACCTACCTGGTCCACTTTGCTCTACTATGCATAATCTGGGAAGAGATGTCACTGGTATGTCGTAGCTTGGCCACAAGACTGTGATTATGGAGAAATCCAAAATTAAAAGGGGGAAGCTCCCTGTCGATCAAAACATCAGGTATAGTTTTGGCCCCATGGTTACATTCACGGGGTATGTACTTATGCATAGTTTGAGAAAATCTTCAGACTGCAAATCGCAGGGTCTTCAGACGAAACATGCATAGTCCTTGCAGCATCAGCGGGTCCATCCCGGTGGGGAGATCAAATTCGTCCTATGGCCTGATCTTACAAATATCCACACTTGGCTGGACCCTGATGGCTAGATCCAAATGCCCCGTGTCAACATCCCCGGATTTTCCGGATTCGCCGGCTTGTGTAACGAGGTGTGAGGATCTTTACAATCTAAGAGAGAATCACTCGGTCATGCGACCTCGATCAAGCTGGGGCCGAAAATACACGCCAAACTATCAGGTATCCCCGGCGCTTCATTTTGAGTATATAAGGAGTATGATGTCTGTCTACAAGGTAGACGAACCGACAAGGCCAGGCTCTCTTGAATATCAAGGCAATTGCTCTTCTTGACATCAATCCGGCACAATGCGTCTCTCCGAAATTCTTACTGTGGCTTTGGTCACTGGTGCCACTGCTTATGATCTGCCCAACAACCTGAAACAGATCTATGACAAGCACAAGGTATATCTGCGCAGCCCAAGGTTTTCAGTCAACCTGCTAACATCTCTTTCTTTGCACCTCCAGGGAAAATGTTCCAAGGTACTGGCAAAAGGGTTCACCAATGGTGATCCCAGCCAGGGCAAGTCTTTCGAGTACTGCGGCGACATCTCGGGCGCCATTTTCATCTCCTCCGCCAAGGGTTACACCAATATGGACATCGACTGCGACGGGGCCAACAACTCCGCCGGCAAGTGCGCCAACGACCCATCCGGCCAGGGCCAGACCGCCTTTAAGTCTGACGTGCAGAAGTTCGGCATCTCCGACCTTAACGCCAATGTCCACCCCTACGTGGTGTTCGGAAATGAGGAACACTCTCCCAAGTTCTCGCCCCAGTCACAGGGAATGCAGCCATTGAGTGTCATGGCTGTCGTGTGCAATGGCCAACTGGTACGTCTCTCATCTATACTGCATTGTGGGCGTCCTGTCCGTCTCCGTAGCTAATATCGAACGCATTACACAGCATTACGGAATCTGGGGTGACACGAACGGCGGCGTTTCTACCGGCGAAGCCTCCATTTCTTTGGGTGATCTTTGCTTCCCCAACGAGCATCTCGATGGCGACCATGGTCACGATCCCAATGATGTCCTCTTTATCGGCTTTACCAGCAAGGATGCCGTGCCTGGAGCGGCTGCCAAGTGGAAGGCAAAGAATGCGAAAGAATTTGAGGACAGTATCAAGTCGATTGGCGACAAGCTGGTTGCTGGTCTGAAGGCATAGAGACAAATCAGACCAAAGACAGCCGAGGTACGGGGTTTGGCTGTTGGCAATATATTTTCGTACGTACAATCGGAGGCACAGTACCTAGGAGTAGTCAGTATAGAAGAATATTAGTAGCCTATACTTTTCTATCGGCAGTGCCGGTTTGAGGATGCTCCATTATTGCATGGCTTGTAAAATGTCTCTGAAGACCATCAACCTCACAAGGTTATTGTTACATCCGCCGTGCGCAAACTGAAATGAGTATAATAACAGGTTCATGCTCCCAAAGAGCACTTCGCCATTAGAGGCCATCAAAGTAGGTGTCTGCAAACCACGTTCCTAGTTGGCAGCAACCCCCTGGCCTATAGCTACAACATCTGATTAATGACTGGAAGGGTTGGTTAATGTCCAGAAGTGAGATAACACTGCTGTCACTACGCTCAGTCTCTATTTCGATAACGAGCATCACAGTTAGGGTAGAGCCTTTGAATTGTGCGAGGGTGGATGATAAGCCCGCTGGCGGCAACCCCGTGCCGAAATAGCTATGTATGTAACGACGACAATTTGTAGATGCCCCATACAGTCCCGTATGCCTCTCTAGCCATCTGCTGCACTAGCAGCTTGTACATTGTGGGGAAAGAAGTATGTGGGTGGGAGGAAAGAGAGTACACTCTTCTGGAGTTCTGCCTCCCATCATTGCTGGCAATCATGGCCATCCAGTTACTTCCAGCAAAAAGCTCCAGGAGCGCCCAAGCTACGGCAACAGTAATCAAAAGCACCACTATCAAGGCTGTTTGTTCCACTAGCAGAGCACTAATGTACTTCTTAGTATAAATGCACATTAGCTAACATAGAAAGAGAGGGCGTACCTGATGGTTAGGGCCAGGGTAGTAGTTCTCAAAATTACCACAGGTCTTTGCGACGACACGATCGCTGCAACATTGCTTCGTGAGGTCATTGTACTGTGGGCCTGTTCCACTTGGGTCCTGGCACTTGCAATTCTGGCCGGCGAAGGCGCTGTTACTTGTCAGTATATAGAGATAATCAGATATAGTTGCGAGCCATAGTATCAGAGGAACAGAAAAATGGAGTCCTTTACCTTGCAGCAAGAGACAACATAATGGCAAGAGTGAATCTCATTTTGAAAAAAAAGGCTATGTTACAATCTGAGACTTGATTGTTGCAGTTAATATTTGCTGGAAGATCTTAATGGAGTCTATAGACAGGAAGATACCTGTTTATATGCTTCCCATTCAATATTGGCTCGGAGGAACTTGCTGCTTAGCTGCTTTGCTTCATAGCAGATCCCACTGACTACGTGAAATGGGGTATAGTAATCCGATTACTGATAGATAATTAATTAAATCCATGATCAAGTCACATATGACGCATCGATTCCATGGGCTGGGGGCAAGTTAGACTAGTGGAGAGAGCTCCCCTGCAGAGGCAGGGTGTTAAGAGTAAGACACCAACACAGCAGCACTAACGCAGGGCAGATGTAATGGCTGAAACAAAGTAATTAAAGATCACTAATCAATCATAAAGGGATCAGTAAGTGATCTAGAGATTTGCTTAATTCAGGGATTTACAGGAAAATTTTTATGAGTGCCTGTCTATATTATAGAATAAGTTCTCTAAACAGTGCATCCACACAGTCTATTCACAATACCTATTCTCTTTTCATGTGTAGAGTTCATCAGAAGTAATAATCAAAGATCAAATGGAATAGTAATCAATAACTAGTTGTAGTAGAGAACATGGCTATTAGTGAATAAGGTAAGGACTTGACAGGGATATAAAAATAGCTTGGTCTTGGCTGCAGAAAAGTTGATACAGTTTGATAGGTAAGAGCTCCGTATCCCTCATCCGCTGGCCTCATGGGCTTTTGGTTGGCTCTCCTGCATTCCTTCACATTGATGTTTACCTGAGGGAGTCAGTCTTCACTGGCACCGATGTCATTGTCGCGCCTCGTTCCGGTCAAATCCGTACTTCACACTCTGCTGACATAAATCAACATGTATTGACTCTTGAATTCTAGACATTTCATACTGAAACTGGCGATAATTCATTAACTGATTTGACTAGTTGGTTCTTATGTTTGAGACACATATCATCTCTAAGCTTCAAAGAATGATTGTCTACTGTCCAGAGCGCAGAGCCTTCTACGACGGAAGCAACTTTTTCTCTTTCTTATGATCCATCAAGAATTGAATTAACCTCGTTTCTTAGATATAGGCTCAGAGGTTAAATAGCCAGATGCGCTGTCGTTTGTGACCAATCTAACTAGTCTTTTTGTCAAATCTTTCGCCGTCTACTAGAGTAAACCGCATCGAATTACCCCAGCTTGTGTGTGTGTGTGTGTGTGTGTGTGTGTATGTGTATGTATATTCTTTACTTAACCAGCAAAACCAACTTCAACTTTCCCCAAAGTTGAGTCTCATCCGAAGGTCATTGCATCAGTCGCCCAGTGTCAGCATAATGGACGAGATGTCGCAATAAAGCCTTGCATACAGACTATTTGATGATACCAGTTGCGAGGAAGCGAAGGAAGACCCTAAGGCGGGACTACGGAGGGAAAATAAGCCAATCTTGTAGCCATTTCATGGCTTTAGATTATAACCTTGTTCAGAGGGTTCTGCTTGACATTGTGTACGTCTCATCACAGGTATCTTCAGCGGCCGGATCAAAGCGAGCCTCATCCACGTCTTGAATGGCAATCCTGAATCGCAACTATGGTTTAATAGTGTACATAGGATCAACATACAGTAAACCTGCCATAGTTGGAGGCTGAAGCGGATATTCCCTGTTGGGTAGTCTGCACTGAGGAAAAACGACTCCCCTTTATTCAATGATTGGCCGTTTTCAACATGCGCAGCTGAGATGTGGCGTCGACTTTGATAACTCTAAAGTTGATACATGCTCGAACGGAGCGGGGTGAGGCTAGGAATATTTAAGTAGCTGCAGTGGCAGCAGAAAGTATCCGATAGACGCTGGTAATAATAACATCATAGGCACCCACCCTCCATAGGATGTAGACATTATTATTACCTAGGCAGGTAGGTAAGCTAGAATGCCTCTTATCTAGCATGGCGTCTTATTGGCTGCTACCCATGCCGTTATATACTTGTTGGATTGGCTTAGGGGATTTGGCATAGTGACCATTTTTGTATCTCCACAATGCATAACTCAAATGGCCGCAACTTTGGGTATGATGGATATATGCGAATGTTGGAAGCATACGGGGCCTGATCGGCAGGCTGCACAGATAAAGCTTACCTTTTAAGTGGATGTGGGCCTCGCACCTTGATGGAACGCAGCCTTCGCGGATTTTGACCATATGTAGTTTAGCCCATCCCTTTTCGAAGCCCCACCTCCACGCCCACGTGGTAGTCCACAGAGTAGTGTATATAATGGAGGGACCGCAGAGGCTCTCTGGCTTCATTCTCTCCATGCGTTCTATCCACCTCATTTACAGAAACAGCAGCCTTACTTCTGTGCGCTCCTATTATGCTCCTCTTTCATAATGTCAACAACTACATCACCGAGAGACTCTGACACCCCCGCACCGGACATTACGGCGGCCGCGAATCTTGGCCAAGGGCTTTCCAACGAGCTTGTGTCAAAAGCGGAGTTTCAGAAGTACCGCATTGTAAGGCCCGGTCCTCAGGCCGACTCTGTGTACTTCATTGAGACCCACGAGACTCTCTCGAAGAACAAATTTGACCTCCTACTTCACCAAGGAGACTCTAAGGATGGAGAAGTTCTTGGGGTTGTGAAAATGCACCTTCGCGGCTGCACTATTGGACTTGGCGATCCAGCCAGAGAGATAGAGGGCAAGCCAATGGTATGGGAGAAATTGGAACGGCCAGAGAAGTATGGTCACAAAGTATACCATTTTGATTTCGAAACTGGCGCACAGAGAATGACGTACACATACCGAAAATCATATGGTGTACTAGGGAGGCTGAAGAGCATGGAACTCCGCGCTGGAGGCCTTGATAAAGAGGATGGACAGCTCCTGGCAAAGTGGGTAGGAAGCAGCTCTTGGACGATGAAGGCCGGCAGCTTGTTCATTGCAAACATGGCAAAGAGTGGACAAGATCACAGTGCACATCTTGACGAAGAGGCTAAGAAATGGGAGATAATGGTTTGTTTGACCGCATTTGCAATTATTGAGAGTCAGCACAGAAGGAGTAAGGGGGGTTAAGGGTATATATAAGCATGGCGATGTAATGTCTTATTTCATGTTTTAGGAGAGTCAAAGAGGTCTCACGTTCCCATTCTGAGCAGAAGCTAGTAGACTTGTACTTGTGGCATCATTCTTCTGAGATGGTAACCTCTTTTCTGTGTAATAATAAATTCTTCCGCAAACAGCTTAAGAATTTTGGGGCCTAAGCACTCGTCAAATGGCGCGAGTATCTCGCGTTGATTGTCGGGAAAGCGATGGAGATTGTGGATTGGTATACGCACCTCTCTGAAAAGATGAATTTGGAATGGACCGGAGAAGTATCAAACGAGGCCTACGGTGAGGAGTATTGGCATGACATTGAAGTTGGATGGAACACGCATGTCTTCCAGCCTCGACTCCCTCATGCCAGAATGACATTCGGTGGTATCCTGGATGATCTCATAATAGAAATCTCTGAGCTTTTCTGTTGCCTTATGGTGATCGGCGACGCACGATAAGTCGGGCTTTTTGCTAATGCATTCGTGTGAGAATCGACAGACAGCAAGGAATCGTAGAAGATTCCGTGTTGTAACGAAGCATCCGCTTTCCCTTCGCACTATGAAATAACCTTTTATATCTGCTTCAAGTGGTTKAGTTTCGAAGAAGGTCCGCAGCAGTCCAAAGAATGTCCACGCTTGGTAGAAAGCCGTAAGGTCATGCAGCCCCTTCAGTTTGGCGATGCTGCCGTCCTGGTGATAGACAACCACTTCAACGTTCAGTGGCGCAGACCTGGATTCAATATGAACTCTGACGGGGTTGGCCAACCAAAACTTCTCAAAACTCGGATTTCCATAGTATGGTACCACCAATTCCTCGTGAACAGAGCCTGACGCTTGAATTAGATGGTCCACTTGTGAAGCTGATATTCATTCGTCGGGCGTCAAGCGGATACACGTGAGAATATATGGAGTATGAACGGCCACCCCAAGGACGGGGCCGCGTGGAAACCCCGCGCTGACCAGGTCGATTCTTATCGTCATTAGGTGGTTAGCTAGGGCACGGGGAAGACAATAGGAGCTGAGCGTGATTGGTCTCGTGTGGCTGAGGGCAGGGCAGCTCTTGGTTAGGGTTCTTGAGGGTGGGATAGCCAACAAGAACGTGCTGCTGCCACGTCATCAACCCTGCTCGGGGTTTGCGGCTCAGCCGTGGCCAAAATTTGACAACCGCACATTCTCTGACAGGGTGAGGTTGCGATCCACAAGTGCTGAGGGCTGGTAGGCGGCCGGGTTCCTCCTTGAGGCTATGCCAGGCAAGGCTACGTAGGTACACAGGGCTATGACTGACCTGAGAGATGTCAGTCCGTTGTCAAGCCAGCCAAGCAACTAATGCATATTGAGTGATAATTAATAAACCCCTGTTGCACTGATGTGAACTTAGGTCTTTTCAAGTTCTGTCACATACCGCTGTGTTCTCTCAGGCATCCATGTCATCCTCTATGCCCCTTACAAACCGCGCGGTCAACTTCAACCAAACCGCTACAGTTATTTGAGCACAGTTAACTGACATTTTCTCAGTTCTTCTGCTTCTAGGCGGGGATGCTGTATGTCGCGCCATTGCCCAGTTGAATGGGCCTTAAGTAGCCCAGTCGCATTTTGTTTTAGTCGGCTTCTCATGCGCGGGAACGGCTCACAGCATGCAATTGTCATCCTCGGTACAGGCAAGGGGTTGGACCTTGAGAGTCTCGCGACCGGTCCTGTTGATATGCTAAGCTTGGAATCGTTGACAACAAAACCATCTCTGGTCGTCTTGTCTATCTTTTGGGTTATGCTCTTGATTATTGCGGCTGGAATCCGGTGCAATACTTGGTTTCTTTTGGGAGCAGGAGCTATTGGCATTGGGCAGAATATATATCGCAATGCTTGCGTATTAATCCCGGCAACGCAGTACTATGATTAAGACAGAAATAGCCTCATGAGCATGCTGCATATAAGTTAGCAGTCTGATTCTTGTATGCACATAATGATCTCTCTCTTTTGGCCGACGGACCAGAGTTGGAATTGTTGAGCTCAGCCTCATTGGTTAACTACATACTCGGTCAGGCAGTCATGATTTGTCGCATAATACCGGAAGAGTGTCCTACCAATGCTGTTGGGCAGAAACACCGCCACATAGATGGTCATACCACCCTCCTCGTGGCACGTATCGACCAATAGGCCTCTGCTGAGCAACCAGGTAACGTGTGGGCAAACTTCCGACATACAGGGAAACAGTGTAGGTAGCAGTAAGTTGCAGACGGGCAAACTGGCACTGATGCTGCGCCTCCTCTAGGGAAAGCCAGCCATGCGGCCTCAGGTACTCTTATACCGCCCTTGCCCACTCCCAACTGCCCGAACTTCTACATTTCTTTTCTCCAGGAATAGTCCTGCTGTCGCCTTCCTCTATCGAGACGGTGTGTCCCTCTGTTTGTATTTGTCTGAAGTTTTATGCAAGATGGAGCAGCCATGCGAGGAACTGTGTTTACAAATTCTACAAGATAACGAATTCTGGGACTCCACTCCCATAGAAGATGAGAGTAGCGCCTTGGGACGATGGTGCACATTTGCTAATCGAGGTTTTGGAGCCATCCGTCGCGCAACAAATTGTCCCTTATGTCGAATAGTGTTTCAGGCACTTATGAGCGGTGACCGCGCTGACATTCTGAATGATGAGACAAAGATCTATTATTCTCACGAGCTACTTGTCGAGTACACGACGACGCATATCGAAGAAAGTATTCGAGTCCATCAAGTGAAGCACCTCAACGTATCAACAAATTCCGCTTTTCAACGAGTACCAAGAGAGTTCGCTTGGATAGGTGCAACCGGCAAATGGCTCAACACTGTCTGCGAAGCAGACATCGTGCGACTACAGGATCTGGACTCTTCCAGTGATGATTGTCTTTTTTATGAKAGACCTATTACTCCGCGAGTGGATACCGAACGCATTAAGCAGTGGCTTAGCACATGTGATAACAATCACCCTCGATGTGGTACCCCACCCAGGGCGGTTGGTTCGCATTTATGGATGGTCAATGTCCAGTTAGGAGTGTTGGAGACCGCGCCGACTGAATGCTGCTACGCAGCTCTCAGCTTCTGCCACGGGGCTAATTACCGTTTCTTTTTTGATGAGGGAAATGCTTTTAGATTGCGGAGCAATGGGTTTCTATCAGGAACGAACCTTGAAGTTCCTCAGACCATCAGAGACGCAATTAGTGTGACTAAAGCGTTGGGGCTCGAGTATCTCTGGGTAGATACTTTATGTGTATATCGAGGGGCTTCCACGGCCACGAATGAAAACAGATTGAAACAGAAGCCACACGCTGAGGTTTACAGTAACAGTTACGTTACTCTGGTGGCCACTGGAGAGAATGCGGAATGCGGTCTATTCGGTGTAAACTCTCCAGGACGGAAACCTCAGGTTCGGGAGAATTATAATGGATTGACGCTGGCCGCTGCAAAGAAGTCGTTTCATGATAGCATGCACGAATGCCCGTGGAGCTTTCGGCGGTGGACGTTTGAAGAAGCCATTAAACCACGGAGAATTCTCATCTTCTCAGAAGAACAGGTCTTCTTTCGATGCCAGCAAAGTCTCTGGGCCGAGGCCACTTGGTTGGAGGGGTACAACGGTGACTTTATTAAGAACGTACAACAACGACCAGTACACAGTCTATACTGGCTGAGGGACTATTACGAGCCAGCACAGGGAGATTCTTTTGCGGCCTATGTGGAGGCGGTGAATAGCTATTCGAAGCGCGAATCCTTCCAAGCTGCCGATAATCTGAAAGCCTTTCGGTCGTTTTCGTCTTCCCCTCATATCATAAACCATCATGAACAATTAATCTACGGCCTCCCGCACGATAGGTTCGCAGAAGCACTATGCTTTGAAGTTTATGAGGGCATGAGACCCGTGCTGGAGCGGCAAGGGGTCCCCAGCTGGAGTTGGCTTGCCTGGAAAGCATCGGAAGATGTGTATCCTTCCCTCCCGGACACTTTCTTCGCACTTACATTCTACCGGCTAGTGGCAGATAACGAAAATAAAGCAGGGCCATTGAGATGGTGCCCTATCGACCGAACTGGGGGGGACAATTCTAAGGCATTCCGACGTCCTTCAGCTGGAGAGGAGATCAACACCGCGATAGCGGCATTCCGAGCTCCCACAGTCATGCTAGAGTTCCTGCGGAGAGGCGACGATTTTCCAGGCACTGCCATTCTGACTGTCCCAGTTTCCCCTTCGTCGAATGCTTCATGGGCGCCTGAACTGTCGAAAGGCAAACTGAAGCTTGGTGTCACGCTATCATCAGATTATGAAGCAAGCCCTGGCAGACAAATAAAGGCTCTCTTCGTGATGGTGGACGGAAACTTAGACGTAGAGCCAACTTTCAGGCTACTACTGATTGAAGAAAAGACCCCTGGAGCCTTTCGACGTGTGGGTATATGTGACGTGACTGAGACGGAATGGGTGGAGGCCGGATTAGGAGACCATCTGTCCTATGAGGATATATTTATCTATTAACAGTGTTACTCCTGGGGATCGATATAGAAGAGCATTCTAGGCAGTCCTCAAATGATCATTTCGAATAATGTACTGTATTTTTATAGTGATTTTATCAATGACTTTATTTTCTGAAACGGGGGCTTTTATGGACTTTTCTAGATTAATGCTTCCATCTGCATTGCACAGCACGGCGGTATTATTGATATAAAACATCTATTTGTTTCTACAACAGTGTGCCCATTAAATTGACAGTAACGTCTGTCTTCTTTCTATTTATCCGACGGAGGCGTGTACGAGCGGAAGGTGCGTGCGGAAATCAGGCAAACCATGCAAGACCAATTAGATCCCCAGGAGCCCAGCTGTATTTCTGTCAAGAGCCGCTGCTACAAAGCACATGGGTTTCAGAACCAAAGTGGGAAGAAGCATTAACCTTTTTTAGTTCCTCTAACATGCTGGCAGACGTCGTCGCGGAATAAATTCAATAGCAGCCAGCTGCCGTTGATCTGGGAACGCTTTGTGCAACGAAATGGTCCAAGCTAAGAGGGTCGTGCTTATCAAGGGTGTATAGGGAATTGGAGGTATGGGAACATTCCACAACTGAGACCACATTTTCATGGCGAGTTAGACAAGAGGATCACGAGGATTCTGTCTGCATGCTTGCTGGGGACCTGGCGCACTTCCCAGGCAGCACAGCGACTGGGGAGCCTCACGCATACGTCGACCGTGCCAGCCAGATCATACTTGAAGATTTCCTCGAATGTATCCTATGGAGACTCCTTCCATACACTAATATCTGGACCCGCGGTACTCTCTCCCTTGCTGATATTCGGAAAAGCTAGGGCCCGTCGTGCTTGGCCGCGGATGCTCTTTCGACTGCGCTCCGCGGGCGACGGGGGAGGTTTTCTTTTGGCTAGGCGTGTAGTAAGACGGGGGCCCTCATTGAGCTTGGACTTAGGCCCAGGCGATAATGATACCACTTTCTGAATATCGGTCGAGGGCTCGGTGAGAAGAGGAAGTCCATCCACTATACTGAGTTACCGGCCGCATGATAGAAGTGAACGGATTCAAATCTGAATAAAATGGAATCCATGTGATGGGAGGCGCTTATATCCGTCCGAAATTAAGCCGCTGCAATTGTTGATGGTCGCTGCGGGGGTGCTTAGACACGGGAAAGAGCGTTAAGCAACGCAGCCGCAGTGGAGGGGCACCCCCAAGGCCCATATCTTTCATCAGGGAGCCAACTTCATGCCAACTTCTCATTACGTAGTTATCGACAGTTGTTTTGAACTCCATTTCCGCAATGCGGCGAACCCTATTCGCTGAGCAAGAAGTCCAGCTGGCAACGGAGCGGCGCCTGTAATACCTAGGCACAGCTAAGATAAACATTAATGACATTCAATTTGGAACGCCATTGCTCCGGGATCTGGATAGCAAGAACTTAGCCCGGCTTCCTGAAATCTTTCGTAAAACTACGTCACCGCCTGGAGGTGGGACAATCATGTCCCGGCGCGATTTCGCCCTTTATTCATTCCTCCAACCAAGGCAGCTGATCTAGTGCTTGGGGGATCATTCCCCCTCAGTTGTGTTCTATCACAWGCAAGGCCTACTGGAGGTGATGTATTCTCCTGTCAGCACCACTCTCTAAACTGCACCCACGCTAATCACCGCCTTTTTCAAGCAGCATTACCCCCGCGAGTGCACCCACCCGGGTTTTGACCGCGTTCCAGCCACTGGCTGGCCGATTATGGTGATCACCGCCGAGTCCCTGCTGTCGTATGCTTTTGTCTTGGGATCCTTCCCTTGCCTGATGAGATTTACAATTCGTAAGTGGAGATTGTTGACCATATAGATGACTCTGTAGCATAATGCCAGTACATACGACCACAATACGCGCAAAACAGGTAGCAATCAGTTGGGCTTCAGAATTGTCCGTGCATTCTGGCTAGTTTGTGTTATCGGCAATAGGTAGATAAGGGAGCCTTTTTCCAAGTTATATTCCATGTATTCCTACAATTTGGAGGCGTCCTTTTCCTTAGCTACGGTGAAACTCTGCGGATCCTACCACAAAAGGTGGTCTCGACGCCAATTGGGTCAGTAACTAGTTAACCTTCAACGCGGAATCTAGTTTGATTTATTGATGAATATGTCATGGATAGTACGTGGAGCTTACTCCGGTGCATGCCTATAGCAGGTTAGAATAGTGGACACGGGTCATTTCACGGGAATCGGATGTAAAACTCATATAGAGCTGCTATCGTCTGCTAAAATCCCCAAACTACACTGTCATAAAGCCCAGTCGGGGTGGGAGGGCTGAAGGACATCCACTGCTGTAGGGCCAGGACATCGGTCAGGGCCTCCTCCGCGATCAAAACCTGCTCTTGCCTGAGACTGCTGTTATCCTGATCTGTTGCGCCTCGCCGCCTTGCCTCGGCCGGCAACCGAATACCCTGCGACCAATTGAAATAGTTGGTTGGGTCCCAAATCTCCTTGGTCTCGCGTAACTTGCCGCGATTCTTTCCGTAATATGCCTGTTCATGGGCGTCTGGCCGGAGTGTGTCGTCGGGGAAATTCATGATGGTGGCCCATCTGACCATACCGTATGGGCTTAAGTTAGGCTTGAACTCGCCGAGAAACTTCCGCATGGGCTGCTCGAGCCACTTCTCATTCCACTCAATCATGATATATGTGAAGTAGGTGGACCTGCGCCAGCGGAAAGCCATATCTTCACGACGCCTGTCGTTTGCTGCCCCTCCAGCGTGAATCCAGACGACATCCATCTGACCGGACTCGCCTGCGAATCTGCTCTTGAATATCTGCATCCACTCTCTAATAATGCGGGTGACTGGCTCAATTTTCTCCCTGGTGTTCTCGAACACGAAGGAAGTATAAATCCGGTAGGCTCTGTTGGTTGGAAAGGCCTTTCTGGTCTCCTCGATCCACTGCGCTGCGAGCGACTCGTGTAGATAGCGTGACGATGGCTCCTGTAATGATCGCTGTTTGAGCTGCTCCTTCAGCCGGCCCTGTTGAGGTGTGGCACCCTCTGGAGTCCAGCTGTCGATAGCCTGATTGAACGGTTGCCGGGGACCATTGTAGGAGACTGTAAACCGGACCGCCAGGTCACTTCGCGTGTTAGAGAGATCGCAAATCCAGGTGCTGTCGATGGTCATTTCCCTCGGCCAGTTCCAGGTATAGAAGCTATTCATAGTGGGGAGGAACAAATCCGTGTCGTCACGCCCCGGAAACCAGGTATATCGCCCCGCGACGACAAACGGGGACCTCAGCTGTTGTAGGGAAAATTTCATCTCGACGACGACGCCGAAATTCCCATTACCAGCGCCGCGGAGGGCCCAGAAGAGTTTTCCCTCCTTTGAGTTGGGATCGTCCCGCTCTGACACGGTTACCTCAGTCCCCTCTGCCGTTACAATAGTAAACTGCGTGACAGTGTCGCAGCCCATACCAAAGCTCCTCGTAAAAGGGGAGAGACCACCCGCCAACATAAAGCCGCTCACGCCGACGGTGGGACAGCGCCCTCCATTAATAACCCATCCATCAAGATGCTTGCTGACCAGTTCCTTGTACACATGAAACCAGAGCGCGCCACCCTTGACCGTAGCGCTCTTGGAGTCCACGTTGAGGGCCACCTCGTTCATTAGGCTGAGTTCCATCAAGATCCCGATGTTCGTCGTGGAGGCGCCCGAGTAGGAGTGCCCGCCGTTCTTGATTGTGATTGGGATTTTCCTTGGTCTTGCGGCCCGGATGACTTCTCGAACATCGCACGCGCACCTGGGCTGAACCACGCATGGGGGGGTGGAAAACCGATAGAGGGTGTTGGCGGTCGCGATATGACGTTCATAGTCATCTTCTCCCCGCTCGTAGACGGGGATTTTCTTTTCTCTGAATATTTTGATGGTCTGTTGTATATCCGTACTGGAGTATGGGATCACCTCAGGGGTAATTGAGGTAAGGTTCGACATTTTTTGATACAGGTTATGTCAAACTTCGGCGGGCAATGATTAAACGCAGATAAGTAATGAGTTGTATGCAAGAGGAAGCATATACTAGATGGCAGATACTAAGTGGGCTGTCCAAAACCAGACGCAAGCAGATTGATGTGATGCCACTTCTAGGTTCTTATATTGGTCGAACCGTAGCCCCGACAGCTCCAGTGAGAGCAGAGCATCAATTTATTTCCGAAGTGCTTGTCCGAGCTGGGACTCATCATGTACGGCGACAATCTAGGGAATATCACCACATCGCAGCCGTCAAGCAATAGCCAATGCTATCATGTGCTTGGAGCTGGCCCATTCCGCCCATTCCGCCCATTAGCGGCGGATTGACGTTAGACTGTGCGTAGTTGAATCAGCCGGACATGCCAAAACCAATGGCGTCGTACGCCGGATCGATTCGGGGCCTTGCCATGCAGAGATTCGTCGGGGCATAATAGTGCTGTTGAGCCTAGACCACAGCCATCGAGGGAGTGGGTCAGCTACTAGGTTCGGACCGAACCTGTTCCCAATCACACGTTCGTGCCAACTCAGAACTTTGTTAGACACTAAGACGACGATGATACATTTATTGGATGGCAAGGTTGCCGCTACGGCTGATATTTCCACAAGGGGTTTGCTGCTGCGAGTGGGGAATCCCCCGGTAAATCAATGATGTTCCAGAACATCCCGATCAAAGTATTCAAGAATATGGCTTGCATGTTTCCTGCCAATCAAGCGCTGGAATTTTGCACAGATGCCAAATAAATTCCGCCAAGATGCTTTATTTGCTCAGCTGCTTGAGGGCACTCCACATCACCCCCAAGCCTTCCTGTTGTGGAAAAGTGGGGACAGCCAAATTAAGTTGTATCTGGCTGCTATGTCCAATGGTTTCACTTCCAAGCGCGCCGATATTGACCCGTATCATGAAGTTCTTAGGGGATTCGTGTAACCAAGTTGTGACCATGCATAACCCGCGACAACTGTTCGACGAAATGATGGACTGCATGTGATCGGCCATATTGTCAGGGGGCACTTCCAAAAAGCCAAGGAGAACATATTGACACAGGGTCTTTCGGTTGGATGATGTCGTCCACTCGCTCATCAGTTAGGTGATTGGGGCCTCTTCAGCTCGCTAAACCACCTCTTTATTATCCCGCAAGGCAACCAAGAAGACAGCTTTTAAATTGATGCGAAGCCAAACTTGTAAGTAGCGAATGATAGTGCGCTAGACCAGACTCTTCCGGAATTAGTATGTCCTATACCGAGTATCGTTGCTGGGATTTAAGGTGGGAAATGGGGTTGAATTAGGCGCTTTGTAGTCCGTGGCCCAACATACTGCCCTATTTACTTTAGACGACTTGAAAAGACTAAACACCAGACCAATTCCTGAAACACCAATGTCTATCTCCAGGATAACTAACTTCTTTACTATGCTAATTTCTGGTAGAAGTTGAAATGTTATATAGTGTACATAGTCTAGTTACATAGACTAGTTGGTATGTAATTGAGTTAGAAGCTCTAATGTTTTAGAGTAGTCAATTGTTGATTTACAATGGGATGGTTATTGCCCGAGATTACCTTCACTGGGTAGGAAATAGTTTACTAAAATCATTCATCCTGATCAAGAGAGCAAAATCCATCAAATTGTGCCTATCCCTCCAGGCAACGAGGACTCTGAATCGAAATCATCCACTAAGAGCGACCCAGGACACAGTACATTGGTAGAGCCTAGTATCAGCCCAAGCTTCAACAAAAAGCGTAAACCCGTTCGAATCCACATTCTGCGCCCGGACCCTCAATCGAAGGTTGGCACCTCTATCTACATCTGCCATAGAGATACTCGTTACCACAGATGGAGGCCGTTGGAATCTCTTCGCAAAGTTGATCCGATACTCCCTTCTCTGACCAGGTAAATACGGGGTTGTGTATGACCCAGCATCCACAACTGAGAGGCTATCCGATCGCGCTGCAGACCTAATTTGACTCTCCAAAGTGCTGACCCTACCCATCAAATTGTTATCCGGGACAAGGGGCGAAAAGCGCCTAAGCTGATCCTCCAATCCTTGGACCCGTTGCGGCAAACCATTATCAGGGACTGGGATTGAGAGTCGCTTGAGTTGACCCTCCAGTTCTTGGACTCGATGCGCCAAGCTATTATCAGGGACTGGGATTGAGAGTCGCCGGAGTTGCCTTTCCAATTCTTCAACTCGGCCTACCAAATTGCTATTGGACGGCGGGGGTTGGCTGTTAAGTTTGGGGTTGAGGTTACTGCCGTTGGGCTTGTTGCTATTGGCATCGTCGTTATCAGTATCATCGTCGTCATCGTCGTCATCGTCGTCGTTATCATGAAAGACGCCGGGGCGATTACTAACTGCATTGTTGTGGTCGCGTACCGAGACTGGAGCGTTTACTATGAGCCGATGCCCAGAAATCGCCTCGCCCTCCCGTTCAAACCTGAGGCAGTCGTTAAGGACCCCGATCTTTCGGCCCTCCTCCCCGATCTGAGCCAGGATGAATGCATTCCCGCTGAAATTACCAACATTCAAGCGGCCTTCTTTGTTAATAGGCGTTAAATTGGGGTGGTTGTCGATCTCCAACAGGTATTTGCCTTGACGTATCAATGCACAATGCTCCGAAGGGATCTGCTGCCTGGCTTGGTATGAAACCGACATGGCTGCTGAAGACCTCTGGCACTGTAATAATCAAGGTATATTAGCTCAGATATGGTGGAAAATGGCTTTCAATACTCACCGGCTATAATACTCTAGCGGTTTATTAGAGCCTGTTCTGGTCGTCTTGTAGATGAGGAGCTGCTCGACTATCGCATGATCCGCTCAAGACACAATGTCAGGTTTTAAATTGCCCGCGTAGAGCCCTCTTTTTCCCCTGTACAAGATTTCTACCCAAGTAGTACCCAATTCGTATTGTTGCAGAGTAGAGACATCAACGTGGCACGATGCCCAATCCTAATTTAAGAACGAGGTCACCAGTTAAAAAAAGAGCGCAGAAGTATCCGATATATTATGTGACGTGGGTAGGATTTCTAAAGCAAACAGTTCGATGGCAAACTATTCGTGGGCTTGTGGAAAATCATGGAACACCAGCACTGACTGGTATTTTGTGACGCGCAGGACCTATCATCCCAAAGTATGGTATCATCTCAAAGTATGGCATCCCATTCTACAAAACTTATTTTATTTATTCCCATGGCAGATCCCCGTATCGATTGACCATCGTTTTCTCAGGTCCCTCCGATGCGATTTCCACTGATTACACTCGAAAAGAAAGTCTTGAATTGTCTCTGGTCCTTCTGCGCATTTACAGGTTTTATCTGTTGTCTGCCCAATCCTGAGTAAGTACTGGTTTAGTTGAATCTGATCAGCCCGGAGCTGTGCGAGGGCAGATGTTTGTCTCCTGTTCAACAGATCATACAGGGCTCTAGTGTGCTTTCCTAGAAGGGTTGCATCAATTGCCTTCCTATATTTGCCAAACGGGTTCTGTTACGGCATAATATGATAGTCTCTGTGCTATCACAGCCTCTAGCATCTTGTTTAGGGTAGATAATAGTGAGATTGGTCCATACGAGTAGTCTAGACTTCAATGGCCGACCTCGCGGCGACAACAGCAATGATGACTATTCGAAAAGCTGTCGATTCTTGGGAGGTTGTTAAAATCGTTTGTCAAGGCTTTTTGTAAATTATAAAGGGTCCCTGGCGTATCATTCGGAACCAGGAACCTACATACGCAGCTTTTCGTCTAGAGGGAACCTCGAGTAGGCCCTTTTTGCACCGACTAGTATTCGCCGCCTCCCGAAGGATGGCTTTCCAGCAGCTTAGAGCACAGCTCAACGAGCATGCAACCGTTGTATTTCCGGGCGACCAAGGTTTTGCTGATAGCGTAAAGCGATGGTCTGCTATAGGCTTTCGACGACCGGTACTTCCCCTCCACCCTTACAAGCCATTCTTTCCTTATTGGCACAGTCCGTGCAGGGTGTAGTAGTTCTCCCAACAGATGTTCAGGGAATAGCGAGGACTGTGTTCTATGCAAGGATCACCAGTTAGATCTAGCGGTTCAGGGTGGAGGTCACTCCAGCAGCACCGCTTCGTCGACTGATGGAGCCATCCTGATGAACCTCGGCAGGATGACCCGAGTGAGCGTCGATACTAGCACCCAGACAGTCACCGTTCAAGGTGGTGCAACATGGGCTGATGTGGCTCGAGAAACTGCTAAGTACCAGCTAGTCGTCAACGGAGGCACAACAAGCCAGGTTGGGGTTGGGGGTCTCACTTTGCGCGGCGGTTTCGGATTCTTGACGCCGCAACATGGGGTGACTCTCGACACGCTCCTTGCGGCGAAAGTGGTAACCGGAGAAGGGATCGAGTTGCAGGTGTCCACAGAGGAACACTCGGATTTATTCTGGGCTATTCGTGGTGCTGGACCAAATGTTGCAGTGGTGGCAGAATTCAAGTTCCGGGCGTACCCACAACCGAATTTGGTCTGGTCTGGGTTGAGAATCCACGCATCTAGCGAGGTATTGAAGGTCGTTGAAGCCCTGAATGAGGCGCTTGTTCACCCCCAGGGGAGAGCTGCAGCGCAGTGTATCCTGTCTTTATCCCCAGACGACGAAAAAACCCCGACTGTCTGTACGATAATATTCTTCGATGGCTCCGAAGAAGAAGGGCGGCGACACTTTGCTCGGTTGCTTAAGGTGGAATGCATCAAAGACGCAATTGAAATGAGACCCTATAGCGAAACAATCACTATTTGGGATTCATTGGCGCCCCCTGGGGGTCGGAAAGGGAACTAGGGCTTCAGATGACGTTACCACCCCGCCTTGCGTTTGTCGCAGAGCTCATGGAAAAAAATCAGTGATAAACTTAACAAGGAGCCAGATCTGGCTAAAACTGACTTGGAGATCGACTATCTTGATCCGACCCAGATTTGCCGTACTCCCATTACAGAGACGGCTTTTCCTGCGCGCGTTAATCTCCTGCATGCGACGCTCATGTTACAGTGGACTGACGCCGCCAAGGATGAGGACTTTCTCGCTTGGGGACAATCAATCCAGAAGCTGTGTGAAAATGAATTAACTAACCAAGGCCACAAACTCGCACACTATGTGTCGAACTACAATGGTTACACTCAAGGTTCGTCGGTATAATCGGTGAAAGAATCGTTAATGCAGCAAGTGATACTGACATCTACATTAGAAATGGAAGTGGCAGCTGCAGATATGTTTGGCGTAAATGCAAATCGCTTATTGCACATCAAGGCAAAGTATGATCCCGCCAATCTTTTCAACAAGCTTAACCCGCTTGATCGAGAACTATGATGAAGAGCGATCGCGGTGGCCAACGTTAGCGGACGACCGGTTGCTAGTGAGCGTAGGGTGTTGTTTGAAAATATATATTTTTCACAAGCGGAACACAAGACATTTTCTTAGCAAGCTTTGTGTTACCTTGTAGATTTACCGAATATTGATGAGATTTATTTTAAAAAACTGCCAAAGGATGCTGAAGACAACATTAAATAATGACTCTATTTTTAATTAATATAATTCCTTATATACTTAGTGAGTAATTTGGATATTTTGGTTTTTGTAGTCGCCAAGAGATCACATGGTTGCAGTATTTGCAGGCCCACAAACTAACCATGGCTTTCTTGCGATGAACACCTTGCTAACCACAGCCGCTAGCCATGACTCTACCGCAGTCTAAGCGCTATTAGGTCGGCATACACAGTGCCTTAGTAAAAGTTGGCACCGAGTAGCAATGTTTGCTATTACTGATAGAGTTAGTACCACTCCTTCGGCTAAAGGCGAGCCGAAGAAAAAGTGAGACGACGCCACGGACAGAGATGTAGATGTGCGGAAAGATCACAATTGTGGCTTGCGAGTTTGGACCCCAATGTCGTTAGCCCGGAGCGTAACCAGCTAGCGACTTGGCACTATTAGAGCGGGTGAAACCAAGTACCCAGTTCCAGTCCCCCAGTACCCAGTCCGCTACCCAGTAGCTGCCTGTGAATACAGCATATATTGAGATTTCGTATGGCTGCTCGGCTTAAAACTAAAGTTGCGATATAGCTCAGGCTCGGAGATTGACGGCTGTGTTCTACTATTACGCTGGGAACTACGGGGGCAGATCCATTACGATCTGAAGAACGAGGTTCTCTTTGGCCCTCGAGCTCTCTCCACTGCGGCTCCTGGCCCCAGTTGAGATGCAGCATCACGAGTCACGTACGGTGCTATATTAATGTAAATTTTTACAAAAACTACTTTTAGGCGATTTTTTAGCCTAAAAATCAAAAAACAAAAATCAACTAAAAGTAGTTTTGTAAAATTCTGCACTAATGTAGCACTAGTCACTCCATACGCTACAAATCAGGCTACCGTTTTGGCCCCTGTAGGCCGCTGTTCGATTCTCGTCGCCAGCCTAGAGAATGAATGTTTTGCTCGCTGCTCCTACTTTGACATTCATTGTCTCTTGTTCCCTTCTTTCTCCTTGACCAAGCGCCAATACTAATCGGTTTCTCGAGTCAGACCAGGCAAGGCAGTTTGTTCCATTTCGTATTCTCCTTGTACCTACTACCTCCACAGCCTTGCGTTGCAACCAGAGGGTTGGCAAATTCGCAACCGGAAGACGCCCGCTTTTCATGGTCGACTAGCTTTTCTACCAGCGTTGAAGCGATACCACCAAAAACGCTAGCATGAGCCTTATTCGATCCACCTGCGATCGTTGCTACGCCGCCAAAACGCGGTGCACCAAGGATGCGTCGTCCAACCAGTGCCAGAAGTGCTTACGGTCAGGCGCAGTCTGCAACTACAGTCCGCGCGGCCACGCCGGCCGTCCGCTCGGTCGCGGGACAGGCCAGTCAAGCTCGTCCAGCCAACGCCCAACCCCAGCCATGGGCAGTATGTCGCGAACCTTGCTCTTCTTCCTTGCCCTTGCATCACATGTACTTGGCATGGAAAGCTGACAGACATGACACAGTTGACGAACCATTCATCACCCTGCCTCCGTCTTCCGCTTGCAGCCTGGACCTCTTCAGCAACCTCCACTCCGACGAGAACACTGCCGCCTACTTGTGGGACCACCAGTCCTTGCTAGACGACTACGGGCAGCCTCATTTGCCCATCGATGAGGCGATACACAGTGGTACGCTTACGGCATCAACCGCAAGCTCGAATGCTGCCGCCGACTTGTTCTCGCCCTTGGGGGGCGGCAGCGCCCACCGCTCCAGCAGCGGCACACACCATGACGCCCATTCCAGCAGCGAGGCGCCTTCTGCCGCCGCTTCGCTCAAGAACGAGAGCCTGCACAGCCGGCTCGTAGTCACACACACCGAGCTCATCGCCTTCTCCGAGTCGCTCGCCGTGTCCTTCAGCATGACCGACGACATGGAGGTTATCTACAGGCTTAGCGCCGAGATGACCGAGATACTTCAGCGCCTCAAGGAGAATGGGCTGTGCTACCCGCCGATTCCGGTTGTCAAGTGCCAAGGCATGACGTCTCTGCTCATACTGGGCTGCTACAGCTATCTTCTCGAGGCCTATGAATTTGCCATGGAGAAGCTGCGACACGAGCTGCGAGACACAGGCTCTCCCACCGCGATGCTGCAGCAGCGACAGCAGCGGACTGCGTCGCCCGAAGAAGCCCCTCAAATCAACATTGGAGGCATCCGGCTGCAGGTATCGAGAAGGTCGGCCGCCGAAATCCACCTGCAGCTCGTCTCCCAGACGGCTCGGAATCTCCGCGAGTCGCTCCGGCAGTTCGTAAAGCACACGGCAGCCGCACGCTGCTCCATAGACCTGGACACCATCGACGAGAGTCCGGCATCGAACCGTACCGGGAGCCGTGCTGGGGAGACGGACCGCGGCGACAGCATTGAGATTCTAACAAAAATGGCCCAGCGGGAGTTGCGGCGACGAGAAGATGGCATTTTCCAGTACATAAATGAGAGCGCCGCCAAGAAAACAAGGTGAGTGTGCAGTATGATTCTCCGAACGCGATATTTTCAAATTGTCCACAATATGAGGTATACTTGTTTCGGTAAGCATTTTTTTCACTTTGCGAGCCATCCTTTGATGCAAGATGGACCTCGGCCTTGCTCCTCTTTCTGTCTTACTGAGAGCACGCATGATTGCTTTTGAGCATGGGCGATCCGTTTCAAACCGGCTGGCCACTAGGCATGCTGACGGAGGGTTTGGTGGAGCCTAAGTTGGTCTAGACTCTGAATCGGGGAATACTGCGGACTGGGGCTGTTCGGACCTGGATCCTTAATTGCAACCGCAGATACTCACGGGAATAATTCAACTGGCCACGCCAGTTAGGAGAGGGTTCCAGATGCCGATTATCGAGAAATCCGCTCCAGGTCTAGTCCGCCAGCCAGCCCGATTCCAGCCCTTTGTCAACCCTCCGAATGCATGAAACTAGGGGTGCGTCGGCTCATTTCGCTCAATTTCTTCTGCTAAGTAATGCAAAAAGAAGGACCACACTATTGGGGCCTTGTTTAGGCCAAAAATAAATTAAAAGATTCATCCGGCGCTGCACGGTTCTCGTCGTGGCATCTTCCCAGCGCCGTGGTGGCTACTTCCATACTACAAAATCGATCGAGCAAACTGATCTCGCGAAATCATGGAAGCGCAAAGCAAAGACAGCGAAATGCAGTCGCTGGACGACAACAGCAAGATCGCGACTCCGGTTATCGCACCAGCAGACCAAACAGCCCAGAGCCCACCGAGCACGGAAAAAGACAGTTACGAGGTCGGCTGGGAGGGTGGTGATGCGGATCCTCTATGCCCTCGTAGCTACAGCACCTTGAAAAAATGGCGTATCGTTCTTGTTATTTGTTTTGTCAGTCTGTGCATGTAAGTGACGCACGATCAGAGCAACTGGCCCAAGCTAACGCAACATATTCAGGACATGCGCTAGTTCCATCTACACCGCGACATACCAACAGATGGAAGCAGAGCTGGGCAACTCAAGAATAGTGTCTATTCTTGGTCTTTCCCTTTTCGTTCTCGGTATCAGTTTCGGTCCTATGGCTCTTGGGCCCCTCAGCGAGTTTTACGGTCGGCGACCCATTTACGTCATTTCCTGGACGATCTATGTTATTTTCATTATACCACAGGCCGTCGCCAAGAACATTGGGGTGATTCTCGTTTTCCGTTTCCTCGACGGCTTCGCTGGCAGCGCTTTCCTCGCCGTGGCTGGAGGCACCATTCACGATCTCTTCGACAGGGCGCAACTACAACACCCTATTTCTGTCTTCTCCGTGTCGCCATTTATCGGACCCAGTCTGGGTCCCCTGATTGGCGGTTTGATCTGTTCTTATCTCGATTGGCGATGGACGTACTACGTTTTAATCATTTGGTCTTTTGTTTTGTGGCTGGCAATCATCTTCCTTGTTCCTGAGACATTTCGTGAGTTTATGGCCGTAATTCTTCAAGTCCTGTTCCAAACTAACATGAGCTAGATCCGGTTCTATTACGAAACAAGGCGAGAAAGCTTCGAAAAGAGACAAACAACGAATGGTTTGCTCCTATGGAAAGAGCGCACCGGTCTGTTGCCCACGCAATTGGCAACTCCTTACTCCGACCATTCCAGCTTCTCATCCTTGAACCCGTGTGTTCCTGCCTCTGCATTTTTGCAGCACTCTTACATGGTATTCTTTACTTATTTTTCGACGCTTTCCCGCTGGTCTTTGTCAACAATCATGGTTTCAACTTGTGGCAAGTCGGTCTATCCTTCCTAGGAATTGGTCTTGGCATGATCCTAGCTGTTTTCATGAATCCGGTTTGGAACAATGCGCGAAACCGTCTTGTGCACAAGAAAGAACGAGAGACGGGTATCCAAGGTGCTAGCGAGCCCGAGTTCCGGCTTCCTGCTGCTATGGTAGGCTCTCTGATTGTGCCTGTTGGCATGTTCATGTTTGGATGGACAACATTCCCGTGGGTGCACTGGATTGCTCCTATCATAGGCTCTACCATCTTTGGATTTGGGTATGTGCAAGCTATCGAAGTGCAAGAGGAAAAGGTTCAAAAGCTGACGTGGTGACACCAAACTAGGGCATTGCTGCTGTTTACCTCTATTTTCAGTTTTCTTGTAAGTTATCTGGACTACTACAATTTTTTTTCCTTTTTTTTTTTTTTTTTTTTTTTTTTTGTTTTTTTTTTTTTTTTTTTTTTTTTTTTTTTTTTTTTTTTAATTTGTCTTTTGAAAGGCACACCTGACAGAACTTGCATCAGGTTGACGCTTATCCAACGTACGCAGCCAGCGCCATGGCCGCAAATGGCTTCATCCGATGCATTTTTGCTGGTACGTATATGAAGGCAGTAAAATGCCATGACTTTGGTTTTCAGCATAAAGCTAATCTGAAACCGTAGCCCTATTCCCGCTTTTCGGTGAGCAGATGTTTGAAGGATTAGGATACCAATGGGCGTCATCATTGTTGGCGTTTCTCACTGTTGCCATGATACCGTTTCCGTTCCTCTTTTTCCGCTATGGCAAACTTATGAGAGGCAAAAGCCGCTTCGCTAAGAAATAGTTGCTTCTGGCTGAGCAAGTATATGCATGGTGGCTATATTCCGCCACTAATTTCATCCACTTTTAGCTTTCGTTGATTAGCACATTGCTGCGCACCGATTTGGGCGGGCAGCCTGTGTGTGCGGAGTCCTATAAATTAGTTGGCTTCTAGAGTAGTTCTAATACAACAGCTTCACAGCTATAACAATATATTTCATGATGTCATGGACCAGGGTCTCGCATGTAAGCGGCCACTGGCCAATAACCTCGAGGTCGTGAGAACGTACATCAGCATCGCTGGCAATACATGCTCATATTTAAAATGATATGTGGATCTAAACCAAGCGAGGAACGGTTGTAAACCTCAGGTCCCTTGCGATGCAGTGCAGACGCCTTCCTATTGGCCTAGAAAATGCTGTTCTGGTCACTGTAGCGCGCCGTATCTATACTCAGCCGTCTCGTATCAACCACATCCCACATCCCTTATCCTCTCCAGGGTTTATCAGTCAATAGTCAGAAGGTCTAAAACGCTTGATTCATCCCAAAATGGGTACGCGGAGCTCCGGGTGTTTACTCTGTGTCCAGCGTCGCGTGAAGGTTGGTCTTCCAAGAATTGGCGGCCAGAGCACCGTTGACATATACATAGTGTGACGGGCGGCTTCCAGACTGTGCGCGGTGTGAGAAATATGGAAAGCCATGCCCCGGCTATGTCAGGAACTTCAAGTTCAAAACTGGAAAGCCTTATCGTGCTCGACGCGTACCTCCAACTGATAGCTCTGGTTCCGAAGCGAGCGCGCCTAACAGAGAAAACTATGAGGCAGACAGGGGATCGGTGACACAGAGTTCGCCGGTGTCTACGCTGTCTTCTCCAACGATTAATGTCCTCCAAGGACTTTCATCAGTAGTCAATGACCTCTCTCAGCCTCGCTCGTCGACTTCAATCCACATTGTTTCCAGATGGTTCAGCAGTCTCACATCTCTCTACGGACGGAACAAAACCCTGGATGCAACTGTTCGATGCTTTACAGCACATCATATTTCGAAGGTGCTGCAGAATGCCCAGATGGCGCGGTATTCGAGATTTGCGTACACTGAGGCTTTGAGCAGACTTCGAAAGTCTCTGAACGTCCCTTCTGAGCGTCTGTCTTCTGAGATCTTCTGCGCAGTGCTACTTCTGTGCTTGTACGAGGTAGGCATCCGATTATTGTCCATCACAGGAAGAAGCAATGTCATCTGATTAAGTTAGCTGTTTGCAAATACTCAAAATCCAGGTACATGGATGAAACATGCAAAGGCAGTGAGCCAGCTGGCGGAGATTCGTGGGCCGAACTCTTACAAAGAGCCATTCAATAATACATTACTAAAAGCTGCAAGAGGATTGATTGTGGGTGTCTTCATGGTCGGAATATGATATGAGACTGACACGAGTGCAGATAATGCACTCTCTCTTCTCCGGGGAAAGATGCTTCCTAGCCTCAGAGCGCTGGCATGCCATAATGCGGCAGCGCCTCAACTCATTCTACTCCGAAGAGCTGGAAGATTCGCTAGAGGAATTCGTAGCTCTATTCACACTGGCACCAAGCCTTGTTCACGCGCTCTATGATATCAAAGAATCAGATATGACGAGTCCTGCAACCTGGAAGAAGCTGTCGGAAACATTGACCCGAACTCTTGAGATGCAGACCAGACTATTAGAATGGTATAGTCGCTTTTCCCGAATGGCACCACCTCCATACGAAAGGCTATCATCGACCGAAGACGCTGTATATCCTATCGTTCTGCACTATTCCGATATGAGTATTGCGTCAATGTTCAATTCCTATCACGCATACATGGTTATCATACACGAGACCTTACGGACCCTTGGTTATCCTGGCGAACATGAAGCCATGGTCCTTTTTTTCCGAGATCAGATCTGCAAGTCAGTGGAATACAACGGTGCCGATCTACTAGGGGGTTACAGAATGGGATTTCCGCTGCGTGTGGCATACGAGGTCGCAGACCCCAAAACAAAAGCATGGATAGAGAACCGTTTGGTGCAAATGTCGCAGTATTATGCAGCTGTGCAACCTAAGCATTTCACGGCGGCTCTTGATTGAACCCTCTTTCCCTTCTCGGTCGTCATCATGTTCAATTTTTTTGTGAAGAAGACCACCTTTCTCAAGGCCTGTCGCCTCTCTCAAATTCCTCAACACGAAGAATCTTCGATTGCAATGGCTCCATCGTGCCTCGTGATAACAACAGAAGCGCTGTGACGATTATCTCCATCAACAGGCCCATACCAACTTTGATACCCTCCTTGCCAGTGACAGCATTGAATTCCTCCGACCCATACTCACCCAGCAGAAAGTAGGCGATTCTGACAGCCAGGAACGGCAGAGTGGCAAGGACCAGCATCACGCCGCGGCGGCTGTTTCTGGGCAGGACCGTGCGGTAAGCGATGGCAACCCAAAGCACGAGACCAATGACAAATGCAAAGGTAATGACGAAGACGCCCGAGCCGATATCCCTACAGGCGGAAATATCCATTGTCTCACCCACCACGGCACAGACAAGAGAAATGATGACTGGGAAGCGAAAGGCGTGAAGCAGGAAACGCAAATGTTTCGGGTACCTTGTGTTTCCGGGACCGCGTTGTCCAGCCTGCCCACTTCTAGACGTTAGCACTCGCAAAGCCTTGAGTAAACTCATGACGTACCTTCACAACAGGAGAAGGCTCACCTCAAACAGCAGAGGTGATAGTCCGATACTTTGCAGAATGATCTCTACCGTCCAGACTGACTCGCTCGGATTGGAAACAGCAAGCACCATCGCGGAACCCGCAATTCTGACTGGTAGACAGTGTCAACCCTGTTCAAAAGCATAGCGGGCTGGTCAGATATCATACGCTGCGCTAAAAAACCCAGCATGCCAAACCAGGAGTACAGCACGCATCTGCCGACTTTTCTCTCCCTTCTGTGGTGCCAGTACTTCCATTCTTGCATAAACCTTGTGACAAATTGTACCAGCTGAATGAGGGAGAAGATGGTCACTTCAGCAATTGCGACGCCGGCGTGGTCCACAGAATGAGGCGGCATTGTATTGGTCTTCATAGTAATTGGCTTTGGGTCGAGGATGGTTAATCTATTAGCAGACAAAACGAGCTTTTTAGTTGCATCTAGCTCAGAATTTGGTGGCAGGAGATGGTGCTGAGAGTGACAGGATATGGTCGATCTGCTATATATACCTGGGCTCTAAGTTTCTAAGCCTTGCTACTCGTATCTGCCTATCTGCGAAACCATCAAACAAATGGATATCGCGATAATTGACCATTTTCGGCTTAGTGGCTTTGATTTAAGCCATTCTTGGCGCACACGGGCATAATGATTGGTCAAGAAACACTGACCAATTCCATGTTCAGTGCTGATATGCCTAAGGCACCTTGGCGAAGCTGGGACGGTGGCAGATCAAGCAAGAGACACTATCGCTTTGACCGTCCCTTCGTAGAATTGTAGCCCCCTTTGATGGTGTTGATCTAATGTGTATGTGCATACTGGATATACTGCCGATTTGGGTTAAGAATTGTCCCGTAGAGAAAGCCACATCAGTGACTCACAGCGTACCAAATAGCAGATGGTCTCTACTAACATCCGATGTAACCTTGTCCACTTCCAGCTTAAGCTCTGGTTCTCTGTGCCAAGGTAATAAAGGATCATGTCGAAAGATTAAACGGCTAGATTGAGTTTTGAAAAGTTGGTCAATGATCAAGAGGATATTTTGAAACGTAACCATCCCATCGGACGGGATCATTTGGGCCAAGTTGTTCCAGGATACCGCGGGATAGGAATGGTGATCAACGGTATATTATACTGTACCAATCAAACATTTCGGTTCGTAATTAGTTAGGTTGGTTATTAGGTAGCTGATGGTCACATGGATTGCTGACTGTGGCTGAAAACTCCGCTCTATCCTTTCTTCCATCAACGCTTCCTTCCCTTTGTTCCCCTCCACACAAACAAAATCAATCAATAATCATCAAGAAAACACTTGTTATTTTTCTGACCACTAGAATAACCCTCGCAATGAACACTAAAGACAACTCATTCCAAGCTGCGGATGAAGCCTGGACCATGCCATCTGTCGCGCCGGATCTCCTGTGCCTGGATGGCCATTATTTCCGCATCAACTACGATGTTCCAGAGGAGATTACCCGGCAACTGGACGAACTTTACGACCGCGATGCAATGTACGAAGAGATCCCGGAGCATTTGAAGGCATATGAAGTCGAAAAGGAAGACACAGATGTGGAAGAGGCAAAAGAGGTAGAACGGTATCTTGAGGAACAGGCCAAGCGCAAGAAGACCTCCAGAAAATGAAGACGACATCTGCCCAAGTCTACTCGCATATCAACATACGAGTGAACGCACATCTGGAGGGAGGAGAGACAATAGTGACAATCGACATCATGTAGCTGGTTTTGATCCCTTGACGCAAAGCTCGCAAACTATTAGAGAAGAAGTGAAATCTATGGCGGCAGATCCCTGCAATGCCATCATCACTAGTTATTGTTTTACGCCAAACGAATATATTAGGCCCGCAGATGTGGCTTTTCCATGTACCCTGTATGGACGGCTTTCAAACTAGTAGAATGTAGTGGGCATACCCAGGACATTTTCAAACCACTGACCCCGGATTCATCGACTGCATCCAGACCATCTGATCTAGATCCGGGATATGGTGATTGTGACTGTGGTGTCAGGGATGGCACTCCGGCACTGCCTGGTCTTCTCGTCATGCCACCGTGCTCCAGCCCACTGACGATATCTGGTTAAAAGCTTGGATAGGAACTTGAGTAAATGGTCGTCGCACTGTATTTCAGGCTCCTTGCTGCTCAGATCGAGCTTCTGAAGCATACAGTCCATCGTCGAGATCAGGTGACTGTTTTCCGCAACGCTTGGCAATCCCATTCTGGGTCTTGGATACGATAGCTGAAATCAACACGAGGACACAGGCCTAGATGGTTTCTGCTTATAATCTAGGGATTAGATAGCAGGACATCTAAACATGTATGTGAAACTAGGTACTAAGAGGAGTGGAATGATTGTATCCCATGCCCATAAAGGACTCCGCTATCTAATCGGACTAACACGAGCTGTATCTAGCAAGAACAGGCATCGGACTTTTGCTGGTAAGCTGCAGAACAGCGCAGAGACCTTGGTGGGAGGTTTCCGGACTTCTAAAAACTCCGACAGCCATCAGAGTCGAAAGTGATGGGACAGACTATTAGAACGCCATCATTTGCTGCGTGGAATTGTCTTTGTTTTCTCCCAGCATATGATATATCCATCACCTGCCGCGTCTTCTCATCCAGCCAATACTTGTCATGCTTCGCCAACTGTGTCGGTCGTTAGCTTTGGTCGCCGTAGTCCATGTCATAGGCATCCTGGCGGCTGGCGTTGATATTGAAACCTTGTTTGGGCCATATATGTCCAGGGGCACCGAGATTGCCGAATCCACCGACGCCAACTTCCCTACCGTGGTCTCACCCCGTTGGTCTGAATGGAAACCACCCACCTGGACCGGTGCCATCAAGCCCCAAACTGAGCATGACCTTCGAGAGATTGTAAGTCGAGTGAAAATTGGTTCTCTAGGGAAGATGCACTGATATGAGCTGTACCAACAAGGTTCGAATTGCTGCCTCCCACAACATATCTTTCATGGCAACCAATGGCGGCCATGGCACCGGCGTTATCTACGGTACTGTAAAAAGCATTGACGTGAATCTTGCCAATTTCAACAGTGTCAAGATTGATGTTGCCACGAATCGCCTGATTGTCGGAGCTGGCACCAAGGTCGGCGACATTACTGAGCCATTGTACAAGGCCGGCAAGACTGTCCGTAAGAACCTTCCCTCCTTTGGGCCAGGTCTTTTCTTAGGTTGACGTCTTCTACTAGCACACGCCAATAGCGCCTCTGTAGGCATGATCGGGGCAACAATTGGTGGCGGAATTGGTTTCGAGACGGGCCTGTTTGGCCTCGGGATCGACGCGCTCGAGTCTGTCCGCTTGGTGACGGCAACTGGCGACGTGGTGACGGCCTCGGACAAGTGCAACCCGGAGCTATTCTGGGCGATCCGCGGCGCAGGAGCCAACTTTGGCATCATCACGGAAGCAACGTTCAGGATGACTGATCAGCCAAACAATGGCAACGCCGTGATTGGTAGCTTTGTATATCCGGCATCGCACGCCCTGGCCGTGTTTAATCTAATGCAAGCACTTGATAATATCTTGCCAGCCGAACTAGCCTTCCAATTGGCCATTTCGTACAATCGCACGACCAACGCCTCTGAGGTCACCGTTGACTTGACACACTTTGGCTCCTGGGACACGTTTGTACCGCACTTGGATGTTGCGGAGAAACTGGGACCCATTGCCAGGACCGTCAAGAACGTGACACTGGTTGAGCTTTACGCTGGTTCTGATGGACCCCCCCAGAGCGGAGTCTACATCAGCAGTGGTACCATTGGGCTCGGCCGCACCGACCCCCAGACGATGCAGGACGTGCTGGACGAAATGACCGCATTTTACGAGGCCTACCCTGAGTACCATGGCCAGACCATTTTCCAGCACTACGCTAGCAACAACACGCTGAAGACGCCATCAGACACCACGGTATATCCATGGAGAGATACAAAGACATTTTGGTGGGTGTAATGCTGCTTTTGCACCCCTCTCCCAGTAACTACAGCTAACACTGGAATGACGCAACAGGCGCCATGAAAACATCTACACCGATCCCGCTCTGGAGGTACCATCCATTCAGCTGTTTTTATCACTCCGCGGAAAGTTGCACGCGACTAGCGGGTTCTCAGAACCTCACATCTACGTCAACTATGCGTATGGCGACGAAGGCCCTGAAGGCTGGTGGTCGGCAGCCAACCTGCCCAAGCTTAGGAAGCTCAAGCATAAATGGGACCCAAAGCGGTTGTTTGGCCTTGGAACCCCGGTGTTTTGATCAACGATGGCAGCTTGCTGGTTAAGCCCCTCTCAGCCGTAATGTAGTTGTTACGGTTAGTCTTTAGATGCCATAATTTTCCGAAGGCCAATTATGGCCTGGCTCGACTCGCATAAATTACCAGCAGGTTCTCCTCTGATGGCTGACTGTTAACAGTGATCCACATTGCATTGGATCTAAACCTATGTAATCTATTGGAAATAACTTAGGATAGCTTGGTGCATGTGCTTTTTTTAAACATATTCTCATCCACGCACTAGGAACAGAGTGACATGCAAAGCACTGAGGCTGTGTATTGTAGTCATTGTCAGTGTAAAACCCTATATCTCTTAAACATGACGCTGTGAAAGATGACATTGGAAGTAATATCCAATAAATGCCAGGAATATGTTCGTCGCCCAGGAAATACGTGAATACTGGACTTTTTCCCCTCCCAATGACTACTATATACGGCTTGAAACGACCAAGTCTCCAGACCATTCTGCTAATCGGCACTGTGCTCAGCAGGCTTTCACACATTAAAGTGAAGCAGAGGCAGGTGCGCCATCCAGCTTGAAATACCCCGGCTGCAGCGTCTGATAAACCCCCTTGGGATCATACTTGGCAGCAATTCTCTTCAGTTTGGCCTTATTGGCAGCCCCATAACCCGCAATGACATCCTGATACTTACTTGCGTAGTTCATGTAAACATACTCATGAAGCACGCCATCGTTCTTCGCTTTGGCGCTGACTGTATCCCAGAAATTCTTTGCCCACGCAACTATCGTTTCGTCGTCATCCGCATTGTCCCACCAGGTCGACATTAGCAGTAGGTGAAGTGGACCCTCCGAGGCATCTAAACCCAGCGCATTACCCCCGTTGCGCGTCATGTTCTTGAGCATGGGGATAGTAATAGCCTGGTTGACGAGGCTAGGGTTGATACCCGGAATGCTCCAAACCTGCGGAAGAACAGAGTAAAAGTACTCAGTAACCCAGTTGATAAAGCCCTCGTCCAAGCGGAGAGTTAACATCCAGTACATTTCCCGCAGTCCGTCGGGATTGGACTCCTGAACGGTGTCACAGTACTCCACTAAGGTCCTGGAAGCCGTGGTATCCTGAATTGCGGGAATATCGCGGTAGGGAGCGAAGATGGCCGGCTCACTGACGTTCTTGACATATGTAACCTCAGCGGCAGCGATGTTCTGCCCCTGAGTATGTACGAAGGCGACCCAGTGCTGCGCGTTACCGTCATTGGAGGCGCCGTTGACGACGCTAACGAAGGCGCTGATAACTTTGCTGAATTGATCCTCGGCAAAGACTCGGGTCCCACCTCGCATTTCGGGACTGGGGATCGTATAGAGGTTGAACTTGGTGACGATGCCGAAGTTATTCCCGCCCCCTCGGAGAGCCCAGTAGAGGTCAGGATAGGAGTCTGCACTAGCTGTGACGATGGCACCGCTCGCAGTAACGACCTTCGTCTCAGTGAGCTTCCAAACAAAACGTACAATGCATGGCTCATACCTCGAAGCTCTCGACATTATCGCAAGCCCAGCCGTACAGATTTGAGTAGTATGAAATCCCACCTCCGGTCGTAAGTCCTCCAACGCCAATTGTGGAAACCCGGCCGCCGACGGCAGCGAGACCATAAGGCTCTAATGCCGCGTATACTTGCACCCAGACATTGCCGGGACCAACCGACACAATAGACCTATCGTCATTCAGAGTGATGGCGTTCATATCTTTCAGCAAGACTGTAATACCACCCTGGATACTCGATGCACCCGCAAAGGCAGCATGTCCACCGCTTTTGATGGCAAAGGGACAGCCAGTGTACCTTGACAGAAGTACGAGAATTGAAACATCGGTGTTTACCGCTGGCTTGAAGATGCAGTAAGGACGGACCTCTTCCTGCTGGACCGACCAGTAGGATCCTGTGGCATTGGCGTACGCAGTAGTATTCTGCGCGAACGCTCTACTTGGTCCGTAGAGAAAGCCCAGGGCGCCGCACTGTAAAAGGTCAGGCTTCATATGCATTTCCTGGATTCATGAATCGAGGTACTGACGGCTGCACCACAGGCGGATTCGGTTGACCGCGACTGCAGCGAACTCAGGGCAGCAACCGCAGAAACATCCACCCCAAGATTATAAAGCGCGGCGTTGACATCGAAATTGTCTGGTTCAAAGACACTGGGTGGAGTCTTATCTGTTTGTGCGAGAGCAATGGCGCAGATCGCGCTCAAGAGAACAGGAAATCGAAACATGCTGCACCACAAAACCGGAAAAACGAGGAAAGGGATTGAGAACAAAAAGAAAAATCCTCGCCCCTGACGAGGACACAAATGGTCCAATTCCCTTGTCGAATGTGAGCTTGCCACGCGGAGGTTCTGCCACTAATGCCCACTAATGCACGCCATACATACAACGGGAACATTTGTCCTATGAGCATTGATAATGTGAGGCTAGTGCTTACCAGAATGCCACCTCACTCTGACATGTTGCATTAAGTATTCCCATTATTGCCGAACGGAAAGAGCATCTGCTGCCTGGCATGTACTGGCGGTTTCAGGAATGAAGCATTTATCCGTTCATGGGGACTGGCACAACCTATCTCGAACATACATCCGACTAGGTGACAGTTGCTTGATCACCAATACCCGTTTAAGAAATATATGAGCATACTCATGGTTATTGGGAAACCAACATATCAACCCTCAGTACTCTTTAACGATCCGTTATTTCTTCTGAGGTCCGGCGTTCATCCGAAATAGATTAGGCTGTGGTCTAAGGGTGGATGATTAGCATTGCTAAAATCTGTCATCTGAATCACTCCTGTTGCATCAGAGGGACTGGTTTTCGAGAAATTTTGAGAGAAATTGTGGAATCATGATATTTGATCAGAAACCCAGTCAATAGACTTCTGGTCTTCTCTAGGAAGTACCTGATCCTCATTATGGTTCTCTAACATCTTCCGTGCCATATGAGCCCCTCGATAGTGGGAATATGTATGGCTCATTTATCGAATAGCCCTGGGTGCAATCGTCACTGTAAAAACGATTACAGGAGTCTTGAACAATTGGCTCGATAAGATGCTCGATTGTCAATGAGGGTAGCCGAACAAGACCGTTATCCATTCACCTCAAGGTGTAATAATGCAGCACCGTTTGACAGAGAAAGGAGAGTCTCAATGATTTTTAGGGTCATTTCAAATGCACTGCTATAGTATATTCATCTGCAAGCATCGTTTTTCCGATACACTTCCGGGTAAGAGGACCATTGATAGACAGGAACGTGCGGCCGATAGCGAGTCCAAAAATGGTGAACGGCAGTAGTACCATGAGGCATACCATAGCTATGGGCACCCTTGACGATTAGCTAACTGGTCTCTCCAGCTGAAGTGCAGTTTGGATCTCGATTCACGCGTGTGTTCTCCAAGGGGCAGTTTGAGCAGGACTTATGAATTGGGGATAGCACTTCACAAATGTCCACTTCTACAGCCTAGTGAGCACTGTGATAAATGTGCATGTCTGACGCAGGGCTTACCTTGGAGCACATCCTGTTCGACGAGGCTCCGTATAGATTGCAAGTGACTCTCAATCACAGGGCCGCAGTGGACATTATCAGGACTAAGGCACACCTGGCACTACCTCCCATTGAGGGCCATGATGGTTACAAAGCCGCTTGCGCTAAAGCTGTCATGCAGATTTGTATATTGAAATTATCCTTTAGCTGTCCGCTGCACACACTAGAAGATGTGGCTGAACATTAGTATTAAGTGCGTCGGAGACTCGACCAATGCTCTACACGAACAATCCGAGATGATTATCTTGACTTGGCGCCCCGGTCACTTGTTCCCCAAATGCCGGTTTGTAAGAGCCCAAAACGCTCTATGTAGGTATCTTGACGAGCTCATCATTTCGTCGAGTTGCGGCTCTCCATTACGGGTGACAGGAGCGATGGTGACTTGCGGCATATCTAATTGCTCCAAATTGAATACGAGGACCGATTATAAGCCCCCCGGCACTGGAGGCGATCTTCAAAATAAACCGCCCATTATCCCGGCTGATCGACAGGATCAGCGGGCCATCTATTGGCGGGCCGTTCTCCCGTGCTGATGGCGTTGCACCCCTGCTTCAAGCTGGATCCCGCAGCGCTACTCCGTAAACATAGAAAGAATCTCGGCGACATGACGATATGCATTCTGCTGGATTCAGGCGGGTAATATCAACCAGTTATAAACCTCCTTGGGGCTCACTAAACTTCTCGGCCTGCAGCTTGCAGATGCTATCCCTGGTTCATGATGTCGAATATGCAAAGGACATCCGCTGTGGCTTATATATCCTTGTATCTGCAAACAGGTTATTGCTGCAAAACATGACTGCATGAAGATCAACTTATGCATACGTGTAGCCGAAGTCTCGAGGCTGGAAATAACTGGCTCGCATAATGCATCAGCATGTGTCGCAATGTTCACGTACATATCTTTCACCCACCTTTCATAGGCTGGAGACTGCCAGGGCTACCCACTTTCACGTCTACCGTCATTGCAATCTGTTTAAGCGAGCTCGCTGCACACTTGTATATTAACTCCGCATCATGCGCCTATGTGTTCACAATCTCCCAATAGGTGTCTCGAGTGAGCCTTGGAGGATTCAAATCCTAGCAATGTGCCTCCAGACGCCAAGATGGAGACTTCACTCGCTGCAATCAGCGAAAGCATTATTGGTCTCCGGAATATGCTCAAAAGACGATCTCATATAACCTGGGTGAGCAATACGAGGACTCAACTAATACTTGTGTCTTAGATGGAGCCGTCCCGGTCGTCCCTTGTGGGATCGATCACTGGAATACCAGGCTCGGGATGTCCTGATACAGCTAGATTGGTGCTTTTCTCGCAGCTACTTTTGCTGCCTGCAGCGAACACAACCACGGCTGACGAAAGAATGATGTCGAAGATACAAACAGCTCAGGATCGAGAAGGACGGACGTGTCATCCTTAAGAAAGTGAGATTGAGTAATGTCCCTGACCACGAACTATAAATATGGGGATGGTGTCAGTCCAGACTGCAGGCTCTCGAATGACTGACTCATTAATCAGTATCATTATCTACCATTTTGAACAATTGAGCTACGAAGATGACTGTCACAACACTTCCAGCCTTCAACGACCTGGTTGCGCATGCTCTCGTTTCTCAGAGCAGCATTCGGCCAGAGCAGCTGATTGTGCTTGATAACTCCTCCAAATACCAGCCCCATGGATTCAAACAGAACACCAACCAGGAGCAGAATCTGGCTGCCATATTCAACACCATGGCCACCCTTAACCGCCTGGCGCTCGAAGACCCGCGCACCTGCGCTGGAAAGCTAGGGCCATCCTTCCGCGATGCTCTGCTTCAGGCTGCGGATGAAATTGCCACGCTCGCCGATAACCGTCCAATCCGCTATGTTGAGCTGGGCCCTGAGCCTTGGAAATCACGGGCAATCCTCGAGCGACTCCTCGCTGCGGGTGTCAGGCTTCGCCAGTACGTGGGCATCGATATCAATCCCGAATCCGAGCAGACCATGCGCAAAGCTTTGGTGCCTGTAATCGGAGAAGAAAGATTCAGCTATTGGGTCGAGGATTTTTATAAATGCTCCGTAGCCGGTTTCCCAAAGCCTAAAGACGAAACTACTTCTACTGAGAACCTAGTCACCGTTGTGACCAACCTTGGTTTCCAGGAGGGCAATGACCTGCCTGCTCGAATTGGACCCATGTTGAAGAACATCACACGGCCGGGCGACATTTTGCTTTCAGAAATGCAGGTTTTTGGCGGCGGTGCTGATCCGGGCCTCATCGAGCAATTCTATCAGCATCCGGAAATGAATCGTTTCTCCGGTCTGGTTGGCGAATGCTTTGAGTCAGGATCAGATGGTGCTGCCGCGGCCTCGGGATCTGCAGCATCTGCAGCCAGAAAGCATGTCTTTTACCTGTTGCCCCTGCAGACCGAGATTGGAAGCGTGAATGTTGCCACCACGCTTGCTCCGGTCCGCGTCAATGGGCACAAGAAGTACGTGTTAACCAACAGTTGCCTCAAGTACACTCGGGAGCAGTTCCAGCAGGCCAGGGAATACTCGGGCGATTTCGTGGTGAAATTGTGGCAGGAGACCGGGGACAAGTCTGTGGTTTTCCAGGTGTCTCAACGACGTTAGGTGATGGCCAATAGGCAACCGTGATTCTTCATATATAAATAGCAAGGATAATAACCTGTACCTTACGAATATTATTGCGATAATCAAGGAATTCACCATGCGTGCGGGGAAGGCCAGCCACCTGTGCTGACGGAATTGTATGACTGTTTAGCCCCATCTGGTTGCATGGAGAGTAAGATCCAAGAAAGATCGACAGTGGCAGACTACCTTCATCAGTTGGATCCGTTAGATCCGTGCAGGGATTATCAAGAATCACTCAGGTACTTTGGCTCTGACGTAAATTTGACTGTCGACTACAACGATAGGTAGAGTCCAGTCCTTTAATGGAAGCCTTCCCACCAATCACTCTGGTGCAATATGCCCGGCTCTTCCTTACTCATGATCTTGCGACGCTTGGCGTTGCCCCTCCTTGCACTATCTTAGCCTTGTTGTTCGTTTTGCTCGTTTTTATATTATTTTTCTCAATTATCTCTTGTTAATTCCATCCTCCAGTATATTCGTATCAACCGTTCTCGAAATGAGTCGCCCGCAGATCTCATCTGAGAAGCCATCTCAGTGTTCTGAGAAGTCTTTGACTCAACCGGTCCATACATCTCAGGATGAAATAATCAGCTACCCGGAAGGAGGTATCGCAGCCTGGACAGTCGCGCTGGGGTCTTGGTGCTGCATGACCGCGGGCCTAGGTGTAGTGAACTCGGTGGGTGTACTGGAGGCATATGTTTCGACGACTCTGTTGACAAACACCTCCACGGACTCTACGGGGTGGATATTCGGCATTTATGTCTTCGTTTCCTACTTCTGCGGCTTACAGGTTGGTCCGATATTTGACGCCAGGGGCCCTAGGGAGCTCATCATGATAGGGAGCGTCTTGCTACTCGTGGGAACGTTTACATTGGGATTATGCACAGGTTGTCTTCTCACCATCGATTCCTCAAATGAAGTTTCTAACATGCTAGAATCAAGAGTACTACCAATTTGTCCTCGCCTTCTCGATCCTGAGCGGTATCGGCAACTCGTTTCTCTTCACCCCAGCAATGGGTGCCATCTCCCACTGGTTTGACAAACGCCGCGGCGAAGCATCCGGCTTCGCGTTCACCGGCAGCGGCTTCGGTGGCGTCCTCTTCCCCCTCATGATGCAGTCCCTGCTCCCAAAAGTGGGCTGGGCCTGGGCAACCCGCATCGTAGGCTTCGTGCTCCTCTTCCTCTGCGTGATCAGTGTCCTCCTCTGCAGAAGTCGACTCCCGCCCAAGAAAGGCGCCGCAACTTCATGGCGCGATATGCTGCCTGACCCGCGCATATTCTGGGACAGCACCGGCGCGATGGCAGTAACCACCGCCGGGGTGTTTCTCATCGAATGGGCATATTTCGTCCCCGTCACCTACGTTCCCAGCTACTATCTCACACGGCAGGGCCTTTCAAACGCCGAGGCTGTCAGTGGTGCGGCAGCGTTCGCGTACCAGCTCCTCGCCATCTTGAACGCGGTCTCCTGTTTCGGACGATATTTCATCGGCTACGTAGCGGATAAAAGCGGCCGATATAATACCATGATCGTATCGAATCTCGTCTGCCTGGCTGCTGTGATCGGTCTATGGCTGCCGGATGCATTAGCGGGAACTCCGCCGAGTAAGGCGCTGATGATCATGTTTGTGATTGTGTTTGGGTTTGCGAGCGGTTCGAATATCAGTCTGATGCCTGTGTGTCTGGGGCAGCTGTGCGACACGCAAGACTACGGGAGGTACTACGCGAGTGCGTATACAGTTGCCAGTATTGGATGTTTGACGGGCATTCCGATTGCGGGCAGCTTGATCACGGCTACTGAGGGGGGAAGGAGGGGCTTCTGGGGGGTCATCCTGTTCACTGGGCTGAGCTATGTTGCGTCTTTTGCGTGCTTTCTTTGGGTCCGCGTGCGGGTCAAGGGTTGGGATGTTAAGACTATTTGGTGATCGGATCCGCAGATATTGGATTCGGTCGGTAAACGACGCAAGCAAGTGCCCTCAACTAAGGCAACTATCAATGCTCCTTCAGAAAGGTGACCAGTAACTCTGCAAGCTTTTCTGGCTGATCCTCCGGAGAAAAGTGTCCGCTATCCTCGATAATTTCCACCTGTGAGCCAGGAATAGATTCATGCAATTTATGCGCCCAGTCAGGAACCTGCCACCCGTCATTTGCACCCCAGATCAGCTTAACAGGCAATTTCCCCAGCTCACCCAACCGGTCGGCAATTTCCAGCGTATGCTTGGGATCATAGAACCGGACCTGATGCTGGTAGAGACTCGCCTGCCCGACGGGGCCAGAAATATAGCCGAGGAAGGTCTCGAGGCTTGACCTCTCGAATTGCTCCCGCTTCTGCACAGCGGAGAGCAACCAGTCCCTGTAATGCTCGCGATGTTTCTCATCAGGCGCCCGAATCAGGGCCTCCAGCCCGTTCTCCATCTGCTTCTTAGTTCTCGCAGACGGATAACTGTCGAAACTGACTACATCCACAAGTGTCAAGGAACGAACCCTCTGCGGCGAGAAAATGGCAAAGCGCTGAGCGATCCCTCCGCCAATGTCATGGGCTACGAGATGGGTTGATTCCAGGCCCCAGTGCGCCAGTAGTTGCTCCAGAATCGGCACCTGGCCCGAAATCGAGGTATCGATGGATGGATCCCAGGGGCGCTCGGAGAGCCCGTAGCCAAGCCAGTCGAAGACATGGACTCTGTAGTGGGCGTTTGTCAAATGAGGCATGACGTTTCGCCAGATGAGAGAGCTGGACGGTGTCCCGTGTAGTAAGACGACGGGTTCTCCGGTTCGTTCTCCGTAGATGCCATAGGCGATTCGCGTACCGCGGATGAGCACGTGTTCGTTGACCAGTGGTTGCATATTCTATGCCTAAGTTTGGGATGAAAGGTAATGTAGATAGCCAAGTTGCATGAGCGAAAGATATAGGTTGCACGTGTCATGCTTATATGGCTGATGAGGATGATGATGTCATTTGTCACAGAACTTGCTAATCCCTGTCCGTCGAAGTGACTCCATACATCGTCTGCAAACATTTAGGTATCGCTTGACAGTAGTGTATACATATAATCAATTACTGACTATATAAGCGTATATCTTGTGACTACTAGTAGTCTCAGATCAATTCTCTGTGAGCACGCGGACCGTCTGGGCTGCCAGGACCAGGTCATAAGAAGCTTAAGAAGATGATGGGTTAACCTATTTATATACGAGTTGTCCTGTATTTATTTGATACATCGAGAGTCCCCACTGGATTATCCATCGCGGAGTCCCTAGATTTTTGCAACCCGTGTGTCGAGCGCTCACTTCAGAATACCCCAAAGTATGCGTTGTAACCCCACGCATTCGCTATCGGTGCTTCTGTCAGCACTTGCATACTGTGGACGGTGAAGGATGCGGTTCAAGATTGACATATTACTCACAATTCCATTGTCCATTTTGGGGTTCGATGAAGTTCAGATGGTCGCCATTAGCATTATGGTATACGAACCAATTGTAAGCATGTGCGTCACCTCCTGGTTTAGAACCGAACATGATCCCACAAAGAATGGCTATGCCCTTCGTCGCACGATGATATGTTAGGGGAGTAGTTACACAAGCAGGCGGCGCAAAAGTACAGACTTACATCAGCCCGTATCAAGTCATTGCCGTCTTTTGCCACGGCAGCTTTGAAGGTGAAGGCGAAGTCGTCACCTAGTAGACGCAAATGGAACTCTATTAGCCAAGTCCATCTATAGAGCAAGCTGGCGTGGGGCTGGGTTGCCCTACAATCAAAAACCTCTGAGCGCCATCTGAAATTATGCTGAATACCCGAAGCCGTATAGATCGCGTCCCGGAGATCTAACGGAAGAAGCAGATAATTCATATCAGCATGATAGTACTGGAAATTCGTCGGGGCCGTACGAGGGTTAGCCCTCAGGACAGCTTGTATCTCTGTCGGCGTCCGAGAGATTCGCTCAAATGACCATCTTTGATTGTCATTTGGAATATCGTGCCAACCACACACATGTGTGCTGTTATAATGCTTCATCAACCGATTGATCATCAAGACAGGGTTGTGAAATGTACCCAGATGTAGTGCCTCCTCCAGAATCGACAACAGTTCCACTCCCCTTGTTCGCGATCCTTCAATAGTGAGTAATTCCTTGAAAGCATCGCGTGTGCATAGCAAGCAGGAGTACTCACTTCCAGTATCCACTGCCCGCGTCGGTGATGAACCACTTTTGGTGATCATTGTCAAGCGTAGCCCAGCCTTGTATCTTAGTGCCATTGGCTGAGCTACTACCCGCCAAATCAAGACTCGCTAATTTCAAGTCCGAGTTATCAGTTTCAACCTCACCAGCGGCTCTCAAAGACTGAGACGCAATGGACCTACTTCCGGATCGAAGATTCACAAATCTCCACCAACCCTGTGGGTCCTTCGTAAGAAGCCAGACCTGGTTGTAGAAAGCATGATCGTGCATCTCGCTCCATCCTTGCGCCTGCGTGCCGTTGCCAGGGTCGCCTACAATATCAGCACTCGACCGCGAAAGTGATCAATTCACAACATACCGTTGGACAGCTCGAGTCTTAGCCCAGACGCGGATTTCGGAGTCAGTCGATAGACAGCATCACTCTGAATTGGGCCTGACATTTTGAGAGTATGAATTACTACTTCAAAGTGTGTAATTTTGAGTCAACAGAGGAAAGGATTTCTGGTTCCAATTACTGCAAAGTGAGGGAGGGAAGAAAGATCAATAGCCATGAATTTATAGATTTCATTCTTTAACTCAGATCACAGTATCCTGCAGGTAATCTGTGCCGACTGAAGCCGTCATACATCTTTGCAACCAAGCCATCACTAGCAATGGGAACACAGGTCTACGTGGTTTGGAAATTGTCAAAGAGGGTTGAGAAATGAGAATAATAGGCCCCTGTAGCGTAGTGTGCTCGGCATAAAAGTCTTAGTTTGTATCCGACAGCCAAAATATGCAGAAACTTGCCTTTTTAGGCAACCAATTGTCAGGCAACTGTCAGCCACATTCAATCCCCGCTTTCCGTTCTTCCTGACAACTGCAACTGACAATATTGTCAAATTGGCTCCCATCAGTTCATGTCAGCACTGCAATTTGGAACCACAGCATGGGATCAAAGAGCCCTGAAGGCCACTGGCAGGCTCCTTATGGTTTGACTTTTACCCTTCCACAAACAACAACCGTCAGCAACTCTAACTTATCCTTGCCATGTAGCCTCGAACTCCAGTGACCTCAAGCCAGCCAATCCATTAAAAAAGGCACAATGGCATTGTTTTACAAAAATGAGCCACGAGCTGATCAATGTCCCCATGAGCCATTGCCGCCGTCGCCATGGCCCAATAAGGGAGCAGTAGATCTGCCGGCTTCACGACCACTACTTGACTTATCGACACTAACAATGCGGCCTTCAAACCTAACCGACATTAGTCATAATGGAGGTCAAAACACTTACTCCTGGTTATTTATTGAGTTCATGGCGCCAGTCGCATGATACATATAGACAAGATCCTCCGACAGTCCGAAGACAACGCTGCTGCAGAAACAACTACGGCCAGGATGGACAGGATTGAGCTAAGCATGTTGAATCACAGTTGCCTGCTTGACAGATGTTCTGTAGAAAGGAATGCTGAGGGTTTATATGTTGTTTACGCCTCCCCAATGATGAGTTATCAACATTAATGATTGCGACTGATCAAGACGACATAAGCTCTGCAACTCATTTCTACCCAGTAATGCAACTGTTCAAACCACCATAATTTGTTAATTCAGCTGATGAGCAAACAAGGGCGCAGGCAGCCGACTGCGCAATCTCATATCCAGGTAATCATCCCGCAGTTCAGCTCCACAACTATGCACCTACCGCAAGCAGGACGTATGTTCAGGCAGTTCAAGCATCACAGGAGCAACAGTTAGCCAGCCACAACGGTGGGAAGACACAGCGGCTGTTTAGCTATGGAGGGATAAAGCCACATGGTGATGCAATGCAAGGTGTTTGGACAGTAACTAAAAGCGAGCCAATCGGTCTCTCCGAAAGTGCAAGTGACAGGTGCATCAAGGCCAATAGTATTCAAGATAGCGTGATAGAACCTGCATGGTTGTGATATGTGCTTCTCGACACACTGTAGTTAATGTCGACTACCCTTCAAGGTGATTAAGAGCTCTGCAGAGTACTTTCCCCCTGGTAATTGGCATCCTTAAGCAGATTTTGTTTCGTGACTTGCGGCCTTCATTATGAAAAAAAGGCAAACAATATACTTAAAAGATCACAAGACCACGGTTAAGTGTACCTATATATAAAGGAGTTCCGCTTCAACCAATCCCATTAAAGAAAGTAGACCATGGCCCCTTATCATTTAAGCAGAGCTTGCGGTCCCTAGGAAGTTTCGAGACTCTATCTGGTTCTGCTTCAAAACTGCTCGAGCAAAGTACTGATGAATTAAATCACACAACCGGAAAAGGCAGCATATCTGTCAAATGTACAAAAATCATCTTCTCGACTAAAAAAGCAACCACGCCCATAATAAACATCCTAGCTTGTATGGACCAAAAACGGACACGCGAAGCCCGAAAGCTCTTTCAGGCAACCACAATCCCAAGTGGAGCATTCTGTCTCACCTTGGGATTTCAATGCACGACATGCTCATCGTCGTCAGACAGCATGGAGGCCACCATGCACGAATAGAAGCTGCCCGGGTCGGCAGACCTTTTATAGGAATATGCATATGACGATTATCACAAGCACCGGTGCTTGCTAGGCGATCATATATAGACATATCGAATACAATATAAAGCAAGGATAGGTCATATTGACTTGCTGCTAGCAAGGAATGGTCTTCAGGAGACCTCTGTATAGATGTATATATTTGATTCCCAGAATTGGAAACTGCACATACGAATCTCATAACTGGATCACAAACACCGTGCTTCTATGTTTTATACTGGCTAGCCTTATAACTACTGCAGGGTGAATCTCAATTCTATAATTTTCTATTGAGCATTGCGCATTCCGAGTGGCTGAGTTTCCCAAACAGTGTCCAACCATAACTATCCATTTGCTATTCTCCTAGTTACATTGTAAGAGTACAGGAACCGAGCAGAAAAGTCTCAACACATATACCTGCCAACCTCCTGCGTAACTACTCAGAACTGTGGGTATACACGGATTTAAGGCAGTCAGGTAAACGGGTAACCCATCCGTATGAATAATCCGTGGCAAGGGGAAATCCCGCTTACTACGTACCAGTGCCACAATCGGATCGCATGGAGAGTTTAAACTCGCGCCACTGGGCGTATGAACCCAAGATGAACGAATGCCCGAGAACTGGATCAGCCAACGTGAGACTTTGCCGTCGATCTGTCCCCAATCGATGACGGCATAGGGCTGCCCAGAGCCAATGGTATCTCGGGCGGCGTTCTCGGCATGCCGAAGCGGATATGCAATGGTCATGGTCACTTGAAGATGAGCATAGATTGAAATTTTTTTTTTTCCCCATCTTTCATTTCTTCTCGATTTCTCAATTCACAAGTGTTTCTTCATCCCTACACCATTGGGGTTTATAAGTCTCTTGAATGTGAATTGGCTCTAAGATGGCTGAATCAGAGGTCCGCAATGGGGGTTCGTCGCAACCGGTCGATGACGCAATGCCCGCAAACTCTGCGACGAACACTCAACTGCCAAAAAAGAGTCTGATGGACAGGTTGGTGCGATGCAGTTGAAATAGTGTTGAGATACTGACTATCTTCAGAATTAAAGGGTATCTCGGTATTGAAGACCTCAGTGGCGAGATACGGGATAGCGCAGACATCGAGATTCACAGTTGGGATGGGCCGGATGATCCTGAGAATCCGTAAGTGAGAAGGGACATCAAGAAATATGATCTAATACATTTTAGATTCAATTGGAGTACCAAGTACAAATGGCTTCTTACCTTGACGGTCTGCTTCATGTGAGTTTGCAGTTGTGCTCAAATCCATAGTGACCTGCAAGACGCTGACTCTATAGTTCAATCCTGACCGGTCTCCCTGCCGGAACGTATGGATCCGGGAATAATTGGATGGAACAACAATTTCACGTCCAGAACTCTCCTTTCCCCAACCTCTACTGGGCTACGACCTCCTGGAACATGGGTGCGGCCTTCTGGCCGTTGATCTTCGTGCCTCTCACCGAATCCTCCGGTCGCATGCCTGGATACTTCGTCTCGTATATTATTCTGGTCGCTACGCTATTCGGATCGGCTTTCGCCCAAAATTTTGCTACAATTACAGTAACTCGCTTCTTTGGCGGTGGTGCGTCGTCTGTCTCGATCAACATCGTCGGAGGGAGTATCAGTGATGTGTGGAAGGGCGGCAAGGCTCGCAGCCTGCCCATGTCTCTGTTCGGGTTTACAAGCGTGATCGGGATTGCTTTAGGCCCGTTTATCGGCTCTGCCATTGTGCAGATTCACAAGAGTGATCCATGGAGATGGTAAGAGACTACATCTGTTATGGACGAACAACCTCTAATGCATGGCCACAGGATCTTCTACGTCCAAATCATTTACAACGCCGCTCTAATCCCAGTTTTCTGGCTCATCCTCCGCGAGACCCGTCCAGACGTGATCCTCAAACGACGAGCGCGCAAAATCCGCAAGGAGACTGGACGGCACGTCTACGCGGCGTCCGAGCTGAACGCCCCGAGTACGTGGCGTCTCCTCAAGATCTCCTTCGGCCGTCCTGCCCGGATGTTAGTCTCCGAGCCAGTCGTGCAGTTTTTCACCCTGTGGATCAGTTTCGCCTGGGGTATTTTGTATCTGTTCTTCTCCAGCGTGGTCCAGACATACAGCACCAACTATGGTTGGGGCGTATTGGCCACCGGTCTTGTCCAGCTAGCCATCTCCGTCGGAGCCGTCATCGCCACTGCCATCAATCCCTTCCAGGACTGGCTCTACCTGCGTTCTGCGAAGCGAAACACCGAAAGGCCCGGCCGTCCTATTCCTGAGGCTAGACTGTACACTTCCATCCCTGGTAGCTTACTGTTCACCGCTGGACTGTTCTGGTACGGCTGGGCCAGTCAGCCCGACGTCCATTGGATTGTTCCCACGATTGGAATCACGGCCACTGGAATTGGAATCTACGCAATTTACATGGGTGTCGTCAACTATCTGACTGACGCATATGAGAAATACGCTGCCTCGGCATTGTCGGCCGCGTCTTTGGGTCGAAACTCGTTTGGAGCGTTCCTCCCGCTTGCATCGCCGCAGTTGTTTAGTAATCTCGGCTTTGGATGGGCTGGCTCATTGCTGGGGTTCATTGGAGCTGCTCTGTCGCTTGTGCCTGTGGTCCTGGTGCTCAAGGGGCCGCAGATTCGGAAGAGGAGTCCGTTCATGCGTGAGTCCACGTGGGATCCAGAAGAGACGAGTGAGAGGGAGGAGAATGCGGCTGAGAAAGGATCCAATGTTTGATTCCTGAATAGATTGGAATTGGTTAGTATTATGTGGATGGTGTATAGAGTCATGTGACAAGTGATGATGATGACGATATTGATATGAATTCTGGGATGCCGTACGGCAACTCAAAACGGAAGTTGAGAAGTCTGAGGTGGACATGGTCACTGATGAGCTGATGACGCTGTATAAACCTGATAGATATATTCATGATGCTTTAGTCTACGTTAGAAACTATGTACATATTTGATACTGTGTTATGTCTATGTACCTTTCTATGCATGAGCCAACTCTCACCTACCGGACAACCCGCTTCTCCTTGCCCAACTGCAGCCTCCTCTTCCACTTCGCTTTACTCTTACGCATCGCCCTCTGCGTCCTCTCCCATGGATAGTTGATAGGCGATTCGCCTCCAGTGAAGATCATAAAGTCGTACAGGAACGCTCCCATAAACGAACCGGTCAAGGACCCCGCCCACGGCCCATAGAACCAGTACGGATTCGTGAACAGCTCTCTCCCGTATCCCAGCGCCAACAGTGCCAGTCGCGGCCCAAAATCCCGGCTCGGGTTGAATGCCGCCCCTGTCTGATACGAGAAGGTCATGCTGAGACACGCAACGACGAAGCCGATAATCAGCGAGTTCATGCCTGCACCGGGAGGAGCGTTCTGATCGTCGCCAAGTGCAAGGACGGTTACGGTCAGACAGAGCGTTCCGATGAATTCATTGAAGAAGGCAGTCCCGGGCCCGATCCAGGTTTGCCGCTGGCTGGTGATGAAGCTGTTGATGATATCGGTGGGAGTGTTCGCGATTAAGTAATGCTGGATGGAATGGTAGTACAGCCCATACACCGAAAGGGCGGCGATAAACGCGCCCAGGTACTGCGCCACGAAGTAAGCAGGCATCTTTCGCTTGGGGAATCCGCGGTAGAACCACAGCATGATCGTGATGGTCGGGTTGAGGTGTGCACCGGATACACCACCAGAAATGTAGATGGCCATCATGGCGGCGAATCCCCACGCCCAGGCAGTGGTGTTGGGGTTCCCTGCGCCGGTCAGGGTCACGGACAGATCCGCGGACAGACCGACGGTTAGCTGGACAAAGACCGCCAGTGCCTCGGCGAGCTCCTCGCGGTGGTGCGTACGGATGACGGACCAGGTCGTGTGATTATTGTGCACTTCCTCCTCGACAAGCTCCTGGACGAGCGGGTGCAGGTCTTCCGGGTACGCCGCATGGTCAAGCGTAGGAAAGTCGCCCATGTCATCCTTGTCCTCGTGCTCATCCTTGTCCTCGTGCTCATCCTCGTATTCGTGGTCGTGCTCGTCTAGATGCGGGTCGATCTCCTCGGGCACGGGCTGCAGAGGTTCAGTGCTGAGCTCCTGCTGCGCCAGGGGAGACTGCGGCTGCTCAGGGACTTCAGGCTGCGTCTTCGCCGGATGCTCACCTTCCTCTAAGGTCGATAACTGGTCCACCGCTCCTTCCACGTATGAGGGGCGACGCATACGAGCGGACGAGGTACGCGATAACCGCCGGGTTGACGCGGTCTCCCCTGTCAGTATCTTATTGACGAAATTGTTCTCGCGCTGCACCCGCGCATCCTCCACCTGCGCGGCCATCTTGCGCGGATCCGCGGTCTTCTCGATCTGACCAGCTTCGAGGTCATTGGGATCAACATCCAGCCCCATCTTCTGCGAATTCTCCGCCGGCAACTGGGCGTTCGCCCGCGCCTCCAGTAACTCCTCCTTGGTGGGAACCATGCCCGGCCGCACCACACGCGGCAGGGGCTTCGCCAAACTCCATACTGGCTTTGCGTTAGCGGGCTGCTCATAGGCAGGGTTGAGCTCAGTGTATCCTGGATGCACGAAGGGTTCATGAGCAAGTCTAAGCTGAGGTGTTTCCTCTGGACCGGCCAGTGTGAATTGTCCTCGTGTTCGCTGTGCCAGAGTGGTCCGGGATGTGAGGCTGGGTACTCCGCTGCGCCGAGACGCGGCCGTGCTTCGTCGCCGGATGCCAGAATTGGCTGGCCCTGATGCTTCGGGGCCTTCCAGGGCAGAGGCTCGTCTTGTGGGTGAGATTAAATCCGCGCGGCCGGCGCCTGGAGTGCTCCTGGTGGGTGATGGAGCTGCTTCTGTTGGATCTCGTAGGCGTCGTGTTGCTTCGGACTATCTGCTGTTAGTATATGTCTTGTGCTTCTACGGGAGTCGTATAGTTTTACGTACCTTCGCCCGCGGGCGTCTGGGAGGTCTTTCGTCCATACTGTGTTACTCCTCAATCGTTCCAGTCAGGCCAATCTGAGTATCAATTGATATATTCAAGAGGTAGTAAACAGACAACGAAAATATCCACTGAGAGAGGAATTGACTTTTCCACCCACTGAAACCTCGGTTAATAACACAGCACCGGATGACAGGCAACTTGCGCAATGCCATTGATTACAGGCTACTTAATACCGGAAAAGCGAAAGATTGAGCTCATCTCTTGTTTGGTGTTGAATTGTGGGCACATGGCGTAATGCGTGGATCTTATCTGGGTCCTCGGCAACAGATCAGTCAATTGACATTCAATATCGTTGATTCTCCTGGCGTGTCGATCAACTGGGTAACCTATCAACAATCTCAAACACATTTGTGACCCACATTACATCACAATGGATATTGTTATCCTGGTTTGTTGTGGGTCATTGTCTTGAAATTTGTGATGTTCCTGATGAGCCAAGCACAGCCCGTAGATATACCCGCAAATTCTGTTCTCCACCAATGATATTACTGTGCCTCTCAGATTGAGATTAATAATTGAGCCATTGCATAGCGGGCAACTGATGTCATACCCGTTCAGCGTACAGCATTCATGAAAAGTACATGTGAACTTGATCAAGCATCGCTTGGCGTTTCCTTAGCACCCACAGCAACTGGAGATATCGAAGCCAACGCAGTCCCTCCTCCCTCTTTTGCACGGTCTTCCCTCCGCCTCCGAAGCACCCGGCCACAGATAACACACTCGAGTATCGAAAACATCAAACGAGACACGCTACATCGTCAGCTAAATCGCTAAACCAGTGGAGAAACATACAGAAATGCAATCATCAACGTGAACGCCAGGTCCAGTGTGTCCATCCACGGACGCGGATAATCAGACGGGGCATCGGCCAGACTCCAGTCGCTAAAAGCCGCCTGGAGGCATCCGATAACTCCCAGAATCATTGATATGACGTTTCCGAAAACTAGCATGCCCACGTGCATCCGCTTGAGGGTGAATGAGGCGTCCAGAAGACCGCATACTTCGACCAGGTCGACGACTATTGCGGCGGATATCTGGGAAGTCAGATACGTCCACAATTAAAGCGACGGTCGCTTACTGAGAAAATGGCAAAATAGAATGTGTGCCCCTCACCCCAGTGAGTTGCGAGATATAACATGTAATAGAAACATGCTATGCTGAGCGCTAGTCCACCCAGCCTGATGGCTAGCTGAATGAAGGCCGGGACTTGTGGGACTCGTGATCGAGACATATTGCAATCTGGAGAGAACTTCACATACTGATGAATATGGAATAACCCTACGTTCTTCTTCTGGGGATGTCAGAGTTTTGTGTCTGCATTCACATGGACTACATGGCTGTGGCTTAGACCATGAGTTACAAGAACTTGTACCTTGTCCGCCATATTCTCAGCGAAACAGCTGCTAATTTTGAAAGGGGTATTGGCTCTAAGGTTCGGCTAACGGAGCTTTGGCCGGGCCAGCGTGATACTAATATCAGTCTGCTTCGTTATAGGCTGCGCACAACATTGCCAAGGCTGGTGGACGTTATTCGAGCCAATTGCACAATCGTCTGGCGCCAACTGTAGAGGCTCAAGGTCCTTTTGTTCTGGACTACATCTGTTAGAGCCCATTCATTTGGTATTCCATAATCGAAGTCAACCTGAAGCCGTTAATATTATGTTATCTTACAAGTCGACAGGAACTCAAGATTGGACTCCTTTGCGGGTGTTAGACTGTGGCCCTATGTGGAATAGAAGACCGATGACTCGTTTTGCCTCTACCTTAGCGTGGTAATGATCCATGACACTTCGGCTAGCGCCCTGCATGTCTCGCTTTCACATGCGATGTAATCTGTCATCTTACCTCGAGCTAGGCAGTCACATTGGTGTTGACTAGTCGGATAAATGTCTGACTCCAGAGCACGAGACAGTTCGGCTATCAAGCAGAGCATGGGAACATGTATCACCCAATGCACAATGCGGTGATAGACCAACCATTAGCCTTCCCGGCACAGAAGAAGCTTATCTCATCTACTTGTGGATCATGACCTCGGGGTGGTGGAGAGTTGGTGCAAACGGTCTCTGGTTCTTGTTCGATGGCGCCTGTCGTCTTCGACTCAAGATTTGTAGAGAGAGAAATCATCACTCCAGATAGGTCTGATGAGGCTGTTTCTACACATGTAAGCAGCACAAAGATCCGTTAAAAAATAACTCACTCGAGCCGAAAAAGTTCAACTCCGCACCATCATCTTAGTTATGATACGTCCTGTCACTTTCTGACGATGCCGAAATGAATAACTCGTCCAGGTCTCGAAGGGACAGTTCTACAAGTCGGCTTTATGCTCACACTCTTAGCCCGAGTATCCTCATCCACAAGGCAATCTGATCCATTCATTCGTCATTGGTATGTGGTTGATATTGAATGGGCTTTGGAGAAATTCATTCCGGGTCGAACTTGAGGTGCCATGAGGCTGGCTCTTGCTGCATGGCAGCCCAGGGGTGAACGCTGTCCATAGTCGAGTTAGATGATATGCCGTTTCCATCGTCGACGACGAGTGCCATAATTATCGGTTGTCAAAAGCTGAATGAGAAGATCAATTCCTGGATGCATCCCATGAAAAACTAACTGTGCAGAGGGATCAACAAAACGCGATGGAATGACCCGGTAAAGGGGGTTACCTCCCTTCGCTTCACGACACCGATTTCCAGCTTGGAATGTAGGTCGGACATGACATTCCTGCGGTTTATGATGATTGAATCGATATTTCGCGTGTTTGTGGACCTGAGCTGTCTGAGAGTCCGTGCGCGATCAAGCTTTTTGCGTTGATCAAGTGGACGAGAGGCTATTGCGATGAATGCTCGATCCACAACAGGCCAAGTTCGCATAGTAGACCCCTCGCTTTTGAATCGATAACTTCGGTTATCAGCGCCCTCCATTCCGATAGATGAGGACTTCCGCCACATCTGATGAGCAAGCCCTGGCCGCGCACAGTCTGATATCTATGTGTCTGCGTTTGTATTGGATATGGGCTGAGTCTTGGCGGCACTTGTTAATCTTGGACGCTTTCTGATTTGCTATTGGATCGCCCGCTTGCCTAAATTCGTGAATTCAATTTGCTAATCGTGAGACTACAGGGCACACGATGTAACGTCGCTAAGTATATCAAGCCTTGCACCGGATTGAGATATTCATGCCTTCTTGAGGATACTCAACACTCTGACCCCTCAGCTGATAGCAAGGCTTAAGACGGTGGTCGTTATGCGTCATGGCATATACACAAGCGGAGTTAAGCAGCTACTTCGACCGTGTTAACCTGCCTAATGACATCCGCGACGTCTTATTAGCAGGTAGGGACCGCCTAGAGGCGCTGACATGTCTTCTCCATCACCATCTGGCGGCAGTCCCCTTTGAAAATACAGCTCTTCACTATACCGCCGACCGCCTCCTACTTCTAAGCCCGTCGTTACTATACGAGAAGATCGTTCGGCGCCGGCAAGGAGGGACCTGTTTCCAGATCACTCGATTATTCGGCGAAGTGTTGCTGGCCCTGGGATATGAGCTGTACATGAGCGGGGCACGGACGAACAAATCAACCAGCGTGGCAGCGCAAGACAAGGATCTTGGCCGCGCGCATTTTGGAGATTGGTATTCTTTCCCTTTTCTTGGCCACATCATTATCGGTTTATGCATGCTGACGGTAAAAGGCAACATATGATTCTCATCGTCCGGCTAGACGGGAATGACTACCTCGTGGACGCAGGATTTGGCCCCAATGGCCCGGTTGACCCTGTCCTGCTTCAAGATGGACTCAAATTTACTGATGGTGATGGGAACCTCGGACGGCKGGGCAGAGTTATTTATGCCCCGATTGACCAGGGTCGTGCCAGGCATCTCAAGTACTGGCGTCTGCAGTTTCTGTTTGACAGCAGTCCGGACTGGGTGGACATATATGCCTTCACGGAGAGCGAGTGGCTTGAGAGTGATTATCAAGCTGCAGAGCGCGCGGTCCGTGGTAACAAACGAGCTTGGTTTATGTACCGAGTGATTGCATTTCAGCTCGTCCTGAAAGACAGGAGGCCAGTCGGGTGGGTGATGATTTGGAATGACGCTATGAGTTGGTTCCAAGGAGGCAAATTGGCGCGGAAAATGAAATTCAAGTCTGAAGAGGAGAGGATCAATGCCTTAGAGAGCGTGTTTGGAATTAAGCTGGAAGATGACGAGAAGAAAGAGATTGTTGGAACAGTAGCATTCTTAGGCGCGAAACCAAAGATTTAGACACATTAGGCAGAAGAGCCCATCTACATCAAACTCTTATCTCGTATATTCTTAGACAAGCGAGGTCTTCTACTAACCCAATTGTAGTTAGGATCCAGCATCTGGCGATGCGGGGTAGATGCATTGTCGTTATGTGCGTCATGAGTGGCCAAGGCTGTGCTACTTGGCGAATCTCTCTACACACAGAACCTGGAGAAAACTCAGATTATATTCTCTGCAGCTTCATTCAACCCACTTTCCTTCCAATCCGGGCACTCAAAGTTCATCATGGAGGGTCGCTGTCAATGTGGAGCCATCCGATTCACTACACCACTTCCAGCACCTTACAAGATATACGCCTGCCACTGTACTGAATGCCGCCACCAGTCTTCATCTTATTGTGGCATAACAGCCGTCTTCCCTTGGTTTGAAATACCGATGGTCAATCCAGATGGCACTGCGAGAATCGGTACCTATACACGGCGAACCTTGAAAAGTAGAGAGCTGGAATGCTTATTTTGCTTATCATGTGGATCACGACTTATACATCGCACTCACGGAGAGGATACCCTAAGCGTGAAAGGTGGCTGTCTGGAGGCTCTGACGAGGGAAATGATGTCGAAAGCTGTGCATATTTGGTGTAAGGAAGCAGTGATGCAGATACCACCCGGCGCAGAATGCTGGCAGGAGGAGCCGGAGGATTAGCAGTGTTTGGGCTTGAGTGCGAAGCTGCTCTGGGTTCTGCTGGTAGATCATATGGTTAAATATAACGTCCGTCGTCAGCTACAAGCGGACTAGAGTTGCAGGATATGATCGATGCTGATGTACGTGGTATTAGTATTGAAGAACCAGTATCACCCAACTTAAATACATCATGATCTCATAATTTGATTATGATGCTATTTCACATTGTTTCGTTCTTCTGCTCCAAGAACGTTTATTGCAAACCCACAACAAGCCTCGTGTCGTGTTGACCTGGGCCGCTGAACTCGCGAACCACCATCTCGCATCTCCATGGAGCCTAGTCTTGGACTCTGAGACTCCGGTCTCAATCACAAGCAATGGCCACCCTTGGGCTAACTTCTGTCCTGTTATAATGATGCGATAAACTAGTATCTGCATCTTTGCTGCTCTTTCCAGCCACAGTTGGTCTGTAAGTTGTGTTCCCAGCCCATAGCATCCTGTCCCTTGATCTTGGTCTGGAATGTAACTTTGGGTACAGCGTCAAATAGCTATCTCAGTATAAGGGTATGCCATCGGGTAGTAGGTTTCGGCCACGCGACTCATTGGCATCATGTTGCGCTCGCCCTCACTCGTACCAGAAGTCTGAAAAGCCACGGTCACCCCGGTCGACGCTCTTCGCAATGGCGGTGTCCATGGTGTCAATTCATCCTCTGCATGCCGCTAATAATCGTCAAGCAAGACGCTGAACGACAGATGACATAGGAGGCGCATCACGCGCCAGTCGAGGTGCCCCTGGCTGTCGCCGGCATCGGCTCGGTCCACGGAGTCGCCCATGAGCTGACGGGTGCACATCACCGTCCTGTCGGATTGTCCATCTGTTGGCGTACACGGCTGCTCAGTACTCACACATTGACCTGATTGAAAGGGATTGGTAACTGGCCCATCCTCTTGACTGCTCCACCACAAGTAGGCAGACTACGGCATTTAGAGTCTCGATCCAGACCTCTTCCGTATAGCCTTGTTGCAATGTGCCCGTTGCTTGGCATTGTTGAGCTTCTCAGCTCGGACTTTGGCGCTGCTAGCCGCGCCCGCATCAATTGGCATGGTTTGACCCAATGCCTTCTTCTCCTTCATCTTCCAGTATTTCTTTTTACCGTACTCACGCTGGTAGCAGGCCGAGTACGTATACTTGTATGAATCGTCTGGGTTCCGGAACCAATTCTCTTCCGAGGTTTTCTTGCAACATACCGAGTTCTGAAAACGCCATTGCGCGTCTTGTCGGAGCCTGGTCAAGGACTCAGAGACTCCTGTCTCAACCATGAGCGAAGGCCACACTTGGGCTGATTTCCTCTGGCCTGTCAAGCTAGCGGTATGAAACAGTCATCCGGTGCTTTTCCCTTGTTTGCAGTCACGCTTGGCCTGAGAGTCGTGGTCCCGCTCCATAGGATGTCATCCATCGACGTCCCAGCCAAAACGGCGGACACGGTTATGTTGTCTTTGAGACTGGTAAACGGATGGGCGATGTAGTCGTCTGGCAGCCCGGACGTGATACTCGATGACTCCATGATTGCAGACTGCGCTGGTGAGGAGTTGATTTCTGACGCGGTCACTTCGGTCTCGCTGAAGATGGACGCCATAATCGACAATCTCAAGCATCTAAAGCAGGAAGAATGGTATAAGGGACGAGGATCGAGGGTATTCAGGTAGAAGATCGACGGTATAAGGAAGAGGATCGACGGTATAAGGAAGAGGATCGACGTTATTTATGCTAAGGCTTCTCAGCACTTACCATTATTGTCATGATTCTATTCACTGTTGGATACTTGAAGAACTCGGCACTTACCAGTATTCTTATGGTTCTATTCACTGTTAGATACCTGAAGAACAAGTTCTAAAAATCAGCAACGGATTACATCCAGGGCAGTGAATGATCAATGTTGCATCTGGGAAGTGAAGAAAATCAAATTTTCTGGATGATGTTAGAACTATATAAGACAGGGCGAGCTATAGCATAGCGATCTAGAAACCAAATATGCTGCCGTCGTAGGTTTAAGGTATAGCTTTTAAAACCATGGGTGGATGATGAGACAATGCAGTCACTAGAGTGTCATGTCAGAAAGCTAAGTATACATCATTATATCTTTGTCATGGCCTCTCATAGGAAGTTCTTCAGCCATTTCCCTCTAGGTGAACTAGGTTCCCTAACACAATCACACCCCACGAGACCGGTAAAGGTTTGACTACACGTGCAAGCCTGGCAAACTCTTCCCTTTAGAGACCGTTGCTCCCAGACTTGTACTCCTTCAGTCGGACCATTCGAGACCACTGGCATCTTCGACACTCATGTACTCTGTTAGACTGGGTGCTTCAAGAGCTTGCGCTAGCGCTGCAGCATGATTAAGGATCTTGTAGATTGTCGATATAATATCCACCTGCTGTCCTTTGTCCCAGCTCATGATACAGCCTGAGTACTACCCAAGTCAGTATTTGCAGGTAGTTTCAGAAGTTTCAGCGGTTGGTCGAACGGCTCACCCGAGACTCCTTGTCGATGCACAAAAAGCGCCACTCGTCGGTATCAGTAACTATTCCATATACTATAGTGTCGTTGCGTCTAGCTCTCTTCCTTGCATGGTGCAGCATCGCTGTCATTGTTTAGTCAGGAAACTCTTTTGTTGAGTCAGAATCACATACCCATAGAACACAATGCCTGATATCGCCCAATGTTCCCTCGACGTAATGCACAAAACAATAGCAGGTTTGTCTCCTTTTTTTGTCCTCCGTACCAGAGTGAGTAGTCTGTCGTGCCCTCCAACACGTAAGCCCTATTCTGGTAGGACCACGGCAAACTCAAATTCTTCTCGAATTGAAGATGAAGGGATCCGTAAGCTGAGGCGGACTCGCGCTTCTTGCTTGCAAGGACTACGACGAGAATTGTCTCAAGGCGGGATCTGATAAGCGCTTTGTTCTCGGTACCTCCACCTGCAGCACGCCAATATCCCGACAGGATCGACCCTATGCTAGCGTCAAGCCTGAACTTGACCTTAGTGTATCGAGCAGTAGATACGAGTACCTACCTAAGTACTCAGGAGCTTGGAGCTTGTCCTGCGCTGTCAACTGCCAGCAAGAATTGAAGTTGCAATCCGGCTGGAGGCGTAAGAACCCACGGACATCTTGGGGCTTTATGTCGGCAATGCAGATATGTGGTAGATCTCGCCTTTCAGAAGTGACAGGCTTTTTCCCTTGCCGGGCGACAGTCCTAGACACTCCCGGCTCTTCGTCGTTGTCAGCTTTGCTCTGCATGGGCGAAGATGATGCCGAGCTCTTGCGTATTTGAGTCTTCAATCTTTCGAAATAGTCCATTATTTCGGTCGAATAGGTTGGTGGAGTACGATAATGGATAGAGTTTGTAAATGTTGGGGTCAGGACAGGGTAATGAGGTCGAAGACGCAGATGTGATGTCAACGCAGAGGCCTTCTATGCTATCTACCATAGTAATCGGGCTCAAAATGCGTGAAATAGTATTTAGAATCTTTTTGAATATGTGGGTTATACAATTCGGGCGCTCTCTATTTCCGAAATGCAACAAGCCTCTAAAGTTCTTGACAAGTTACTCCAAAACCATACAGCCAGTCATCTGGCTCACGGTCATTTTCCGTCGGTTCATTTGAGCTTCTGATATAGCAATCTTAATTGCCTGCTTTATGATCTTGGCAATCTGGCTTACGATCTCTTCTTGTTGACCTTGTGTCCAGTCCAAGTGGAGCGACGAGTACTTTGCATATCCTTCGTCAGCTTCCTATATCATCTAGACTATAGAGTAAAGACGTACCTGACTCTTGCTGTTTAGGTGCAAGAACGTCCATTTGTAACTATCTGTACAAATACCGTATATTTCCGCGTTCCTCCCGGCTTTCTTTCGAGCGTAGTGAATTATTGCTGAGCAGCACGTGTTAATCGGACGATTCTCTAGGGATATATGCTCTCATGCGCGAGATGGCACTTACACATAGCTGCAAGAGGCATCCAGCACTCATCCTCCATTAGCACGTCGCTTCGGACAACGATGAAGTTGGTCTCGAGGTCTTGTCGGCTCCCGTACCATAAAGCGTAGTCCACCGTGCAGCCCACGATGTAACTACACCCCTCAAAGTCGTGCGCCATGCAAAGTCTGTGTCGGGGTCCCCAGGAAACTGCGTCCAGAATGGCAGACATTCCGAATCTACTGGATTGAGATCCACCTCTCATATTTCTATTCTCGGACCTTTGTCGCGCTTCTTTCACCACGGATAAGATATGGATTAAGATGGCGTCTAGTCTCGGGCGGATGAGCTTAGGATTTGGGGACTCGACGCCTAGAGCGAGGTTATAATCGTCTAGGAGCATTTCTGGTTTCGTTAGCGACCACAAGCCCTGTAATAGCCCAGGAAAAACACTCACCGAGAGAGCGAGGCATTTTAAGTCTGTCGTCTCGTCCAAGATGCCATGTGCTTCTTTTCCTCCACCAGCTGCTTGGGGAAATTACCGTAGCGCCAAGGAAGTCATCGAGAACCTCACCCTCGTTGTCTTTGTCGTTGTCAGGTTCCGAACGAGAGCGCATTGGTTGCATCGTCTCGACTTTGACATGTCTCCGCAGAAGTAGGTTCCGTAAAGTCGGTGTGTTTTAGATGTTGGGAGACTAAGATATTCTATTTGACTAACAGCTGCTGAACTGCACATAAATGAGTTTAGCATAAAAACTGAGACGTCGGAGGTCTAATCGGGCAGCGGCCTTCCATAAGAGTCCGGAGTCTCGCTCCATGGGTTCCAGGTCAGAGAGCCCTGCATTACTCCGTGCTGACATACAGTACCAAATCTTCGAGTCAACTGGAGAGCACGTAGCCTTGGAACAAACTCTTTGCACATGCGGTCGAGCCACACATAATCCTCAGCTCCTAACCACCTTGGTTGGATGACTTTGCGACCGCACAGCATATTTATCACGCTCAATGGCTTTATCAACAAATCCCTCAACGGTAATGGATAGACATTGCCTTGGAATCTCCCAATAATATGTATTTCACAATAGAATTGGCAGTATGATGTGAGGTGGAATTTGAAGGTCACCATCATTCTTAATCCATGAAGTGGTGGCTTACACAGCCCTCGGTAAATGACAAAATGCAACCACAAGAGTCATTGGTATTCCGGTCTGAGGCGCCCAGATCCCGCATTGTGGCTGAAGCTAAACATAGCCGCCCAGCTGAACAGAGGTAAGCCTCGCAAAGCCGTAATCGTGGCAGGGTCTGCAGGGGTTGTGCACCCGAGTTGCCGTTCAGAAATCAGAATTCCCCCTTTTGTGGTGGTTAAAGGGTGGCCTTTTCAACCGTATTCCATAATAGTAGAGGATCTCATCAAAATGACAAGTGCTTTCATATCCACATATAATCTGAGAGCTTGTTGTACATTTTTCTGTCCAGTAATTTGAGCCCTTGCAGAATTGCTGCATATCGTTGAGGCCCCACACAAGGCTAAGCGCCGAATCCCTTCTCAATCAAAATGTTGCCTAGTCTTGACAAAAGTCCGATCGGAATCAGATATAAGGCCCTGTAAGCCCAAAAGTCGCATACTCTAAAGCATGGCATTGTTGTATCCATGGCGAACACCACAACAACATCATCGGGTTGGGTCAGCGAACCCGACGGACGCGGAACATGGAGCATCCTCTCCACATGTGTGCTAACCATCACTCTATGCTGCTGGACATCTGTCTGCCCCAATATCCCGGCTCAATCAGACGGAAACTGGGCCCGCCTACGGGATAAATTCCACCTCGCCTGTATGGGGATCCTAGGCCCGGAATTTCTTTTGATGTTAGCGATGGGACAATGGTCGTCGGCTAGAAAGTCAGTTAAGGTGTGTTTTCCACGGCCATACTGGATGGTCCTAATAGGTGTAGGAATTTAGCAAATTGGACAGGAAAAGTGGTAAAGGGGAGTGGACGATGACGCACGCGTTCTATGCAGATATGGGAGGGTTTCTTCTCGAGGGGCCTGGGGTTGAGACTCCATTTCCGGTTGATGCGGCGCAGTTGCTGTTTCTGGTTGGACAGGGATATGTGGAATATCCAGAAATTACACGAGATGATATCGATGATAGGAACAAGTCAGATGGGATTGCGAGGTGCGTTTTGTTTTTGATCTTGATGGAGGTGAATGCGCTGCTGCTGATGACGAAGATGCAGATTTATCGCAGTGTGTCAGGCGGTTTGGTTGCTACTAAATTGCATCCTGCGCGCAGCCCAGGATCTTGCTTTGACAACAATGGAGCTTACTACTATCTCCTTTGTCATTGTCTTCTTCGCAACATCGTTTTGCTGGTACTACAAACCGCAAGATATAACCAATATGACCACCGTAACTCTCGCGGTAGATATCACAAGTATCCGAGAAAAGGTAAAACAACGCCTTTTCTGCAGGAGAAAATGGGCTGACCATGCGAAAAAGCACTGTCCTCCAGAGCTCGAAGAATGGTACACGAACCCCTTGGAATTCCTGCATCCCAACCTCTACATCTGCCACATCTTCTGGCGCTACTTCAACCAGATTCTCCGCCGGATCCACTGTCCCATCTTCTCCCGTCCCGTCACCAACAAACCTTACAACCGCATCCCAAGCGACGATTTCCCGCATCTAGATACACTAGCTGATGCTCTCGCCTGTCCGATCGTCCTCCTCTTTGGCAGCGTGTTCATGTTCGCTTGGACCTTTGACTTTCCCTCTTCCCTCGAGCGAATCCTGTGGCGCATTGCGTCCTGCTATACACTGTTATTCTCCCTCGTCGGCGGCTCATACGTACAATTCTGCTATAAGGTTCTTCTTCCACGGCATGCTGAGAAGCGAAGGGCTCGGGATGTGGAAGCTACTATACCGCAAACGCGGATGCAGCGTCTCGCTGCGAAGATGAGAAATATCCATCCTTCGAGGGACCCAAGGTTGGAGATCCCGCTATTGGCGCTCATCCCTGTGACCGTGCTATGCGCTTTGTATTGTATTTCTAGAGCATATATACTCGTTGAGGACTTCGTTGGGCTAAGGGATCTACCTGAGACGGCGTTTCAGACGGTGGAGTGGTCCGTCTATATTCCTCATTGGTAGTTGATAATAGAATGATCGTTGCCTAAGCACTACCTGTAACCATCTCTCAGCTCATTTGACATATGACTACTTATCATACTCTATCAGTTCTTGCTCCCGCGTACGCTGCGGATCAATAGTTGTGCCGTCTGTCTAAGGCAACCGCAGCCAAGAGGTTCCAAGGCCCCTGAACACACATACAACCTTCATTTTCTTGACCAAGCAGAGGCTGTCTAGTAAATCGCGACCGCGAGTCTACTTTTAACGAGCGTGCAATTCTAAATGCCAAACAAGTTGAAGAAAACCTACGTCAAGACATGCGAAATCGTAACCAGGCGCCCTCCAACACACAATGGGTCGTCTTTTGGAACTCCCCGTCGAGGTCCTTCTAATCGTCTATGGGAGCTTAGAGACCATTAACGATGCAGGTCGCCTATCATAGTGCTGCAGGACATTGTACCATTTGTTCAATGACCCAAACATCCAGCAACGGGTTCTGATGTCTATAGTCATCGATGTATGTTCAACTCTAGGACACTATGAGTAAAACCCTTGACTCTGCCAGAACAACCTACCACTACCGAAGAGCCCAGATACCACCTGGCTCAGAGACCACTTTGCTCCAGACTGGTGTTGGAAACCTACAGAATCACAGGTACCTGACAATCTGGTGGACAAAAGGACGCGGGAATTTCTCACAACCAGTGGCATCCCTTCTGGCATTTGTCCAATTACCCAATGGAATTCCTCCCTCCTTAGGGACTTTGAGAATGCGGATGCAGAGCGGTACGCCTGGGACGCTGATTTGATCATCGGCCGCCGCTTGGAGGATGACCATTCTGCGCCTGTCAATTTCTGTTATTGTATAGGCCAGCTCGATCTTGCGCTGGCAATGCTTGATGCTAAGGATGGAACGGTTTTCCACTTTGACCAGGGTGCTTATGGAAAATATGCCAACAGGGGTATCATTGCAGATTCAGTGCCTTCACTTCTGGTACTACTGGGGACTGTCGAGGCGAGTGTGGCTCGGATGGGCAAAATGCCATCGAATTTGAGCCGCCTGGCATTTGAAAAGGATAATGATATGCGCCTCTTTGTTTTAGCTGCTTTGAGAAAGATCATGTCAGAATATGATGACCGCGTGGAACAAGATTCGATGTTCTGGAATGCAATTTTTCATACCTGTGTAGAGTATTAACTAATATGTTTGCCCGATATCCCTTGCGGACCCGTTGTTATACGTTGAAACATAAAAAGAGGGTGATCAGCAAAGCTAGATTCTTAATAATATGATAATGACGCAGACGAAGATGTTACATAGGATACTTGCTACAGACAGTGAATATCAGAATGATCCAAATTGGTATATTCACTTCCTATTTCCCTAGGCTTTGCAATGCGCCATCCCCACCCCTGACAGTATATACTGTTCATCACACATGTCCAGATACAAATTCTCTTCCTTGCTGTTGATCCTCGGGGATAATCCGGAGTTGGCAATAGTGTCAGTAACTGGTCTAAGAAAAGAGCCTTGACTAGTGTTATAAAACTTAAAAGTTTCGGATTTCTTCCCTGCTTCATTGGTTCTGGGCACATTTGCCAAGTGATGGATTCGCCGTAAGTGAATGCAAGCTCAACTTCAAGACTTTAAAAGCACATCAAGAAAGGCAACATTTGGCTCTTTGTACGGATGTCCCCAAGCAAAGGTCAATTCCAACACTTGCTTAAATGTGGCTTTCTCCAACCAAGAATGCGTCGAGCCTGGGGTTTGACGTCGCCTGGAAACCCTCGCTTGAAGGGGCACCGCCTCCGCTTCCTTGCTAGAATATCTAGCAAGCTGATAGTGCCTCTCTGGGCTGATGAAATTGTCTGAGGCTTCAGATCTGCATTGTTAGAGGACACCGGTTGTTCTCTGGCTCAACGAACTTGATCAGATTCTTTCAATCCGCCTGTTAAGTTATATAGATACGAACCCAGCAAGCTCGTCTTCTGGCAGTTTTCTTCTCTTTGGTATGCTGGTTCGGTCCACGCGGCTTCGTTTCTTTGCGTGCATCTTTTTCTTTCTTCTTATTTGCCTGGTCTTCTTCCTTCTTACAACAAAATCAGTTCATTTCTGTCCAGACTGCAGCATACGTTTCGAGCCGCAGGTCCTCCAAATGGCTGGCCAATCCTTGAACATTACCTTAGCCGTTTTGAGACCAAAAATGGACAAAACCTCCAAAGGCACCACAGACGGTAATTCAAATGTGTTCCTCAGAAGAAGGAAAGGAACGGGTGTGAAAAAGAAAATGTTCTTATAGCAGGATCTGCAGATACAACCAGGGATTTGCATTATCCACTACCGGCAGTCAAAGAGTTTACAAACACCTTGCACCCAAACCAAAGGAAATCTCTGGGACTGGAACCAGATTTCCAAAAGCGCCAGGCCAAGCTCAAAGCAACCGGAGAAAAAGAAGCGAAACATCGGAAAAATCATCGATGACTACGAGCCGTTGTTGCCATCAGACAGTGAGGACGAAACACCCAAACTAAAGGAAATCGATTGGACTCAAACCGGGCTTCCGAAACCAATTGGAACCAGCCGCCGCGCATACCACGCATTGGTGCTAGAACGCTACGGCGCCTGGATCCGGAAGACTGCCCTCCCCAAGATGCCTTATAAGGCAAACAAATACTGTAACACGTTCAACACAAGTACAGCTATTGAAATCCAGGCAAACCTGTTCAGCCATCAATGGAAGCCAGGCACGCTTTCGCTACAGCCATGCGGGAAGGCACGGTTAAAGACAACCATTCAGCGGTCTATCCATGGGGGTTACGGAGCACCCTCGACAAGCCCTTCAGCGAGATAAACCCGCGATCAATACCTACTTTACACGGCTGTCCTACGGACATATTCTCCAGGCTGAATGTTTCAGAGGCATTGGTTGTCACGGACTGGCTGGCTTGCAGCATCATTGATTATTGTGAATATGGTTCAATCAGCTCTCACCAATGTCGGCAAAAGGCTATGCATGGGAATCAGCGTGGCTTTAAGGTGGTTGTGGTTCATGATGGGTTGCACCAGCTACGGACCGGGGCAGGTACAAGAAAAATCGTTACTCTGACTATGCCCGGAATTTGTTTCTGTAGATTCACTTCAAAGGAGACGGAACGGGATGCAATAGGCTGCCCTATGCAAAGACGGTCAAGAATCGGAGTGACCACTCTCAAAGCTTTTGGTTGGACATTCTGCCACTCGGCTGCAATTATGTATCACAAGGGCGTTACTGGGTGTGTTTAGTCAACGAGCCACGTGGTGACTGCAGTAAATTAGAACCTCTTTTGTCTTTAAAAAGAACTCCAGTCAGATAGACCCTATAGACTATGCTGCTGCGTTGCACATGGTAAAAATGGAAAAAAGAAAAAAAAAAAAATGGACTCGCGGGGAATCGAACCCCGGACCACCCCCATGCTAAGGGGGTATTATACCACTAAACCACAAGCCCAACTTGTTGAGAACGAAAGCCAGTAAGTCGTTCATGTGACAATTAATGCTCTTTATGGAACGCGGTGCGCTTTCTGGTAGTAGTGGCTATGATTTGAGGTACAGATCCATCTATTATCAAGCGATCAGATTACACCGTTGCAATAGAAACTGCTCTCGCCCAATCCAATAGCAGCCATTACGACATTGATAAGTGAGGACGGTCATCTAGGTTTGAATCAGAATAGAGAAAGCTGAGTTTGTAGAGTGTATACTAAGGAACGGCCTTGTCCTAGGAAACCACGGAAACGTCCATACTGGAGAGGACTCAAAAAGAATTCAGGGCTCCCAAAATTGATTTATGTATCACAGGGCTACTGGTTCTATTCTCTCCGTCTCTTAATCTGCTATTATGTCTGTTGAGACATTTACCAATAGGTTGTTTGCCCTGATGAATATAACCTTACGTTGATCAGGAAAGAAAGCTCTCTCTCTTGAGTTTGATTCAATCTCCCTGAATTCTGTTCAATACAAACAGCATCAACATGGAACTGCGGCCCCCTTTAAAGACTCAAATCCCTGGTCATATCCTCCATCATCGTTATCACCGGACCGGAGTCAGCTCACGAGGTGGCAAGACAGCTTAGCAGTCTGCTCTTAATCGCAGATCTATAAAGAAGTTAAGTAAGGAAACTAACAATGTCATAGACAAGAGCAGAGTAGAGACATACGCAAGGGCCGTGGCCTTCGGTGCAGGAAGGGCAGTTGGGATTCATTTTGTTTGGTATGGAGAGTTGGAGAGTTTCCCTTGGCTAAAGGCTGGATATGTGAATTGAGCTTATGATGCTTTTGAAATGTGATAGTATGGTGAGTGGTAAGGAGGGAGGAGGGAAGGGATGAGTCTTGGGTTTATATGCTTCTCAGTGAAGGGGTTGCATCCACTTCATTGAGTTGAATTGATAAAGTCCCGCATGAAACCATGACTTCATCAGCTGTCGATCAGTTGCCGCCATTAATCCTGTGAATCTCCCTACTACTCTGCAGTATGGTGAAGCTGTATAGGCTTGATTGGAGTAAACGAAAGACCGCCAGTAACAGTTCGCCGATAGCTCTTGTGCATCGGTGATCCTGACGCCTCGTGGCTCCCGGCGGAGCTCCGCTGAGCCAATCCGCTGGGGTAGAGCAGCGGGGTAGCTGGATTGTCGATTGACGATTCCGCTTCAGCCAGCCACTTCTGCAGTTCTGCATACTATCTAGGGGAACCGTGCTGTTGTTACTGTCGACTTTAGATCCGTACATCACCAAATCGTCATCGCTGGAACCACTGAAGATCATTCCTAAATAATAATGCCTCGGTAGAGCACCGAGATTGGAACCAAGATGCCCGTTCTGGCCTACGTATGGCCTTTAGTGTGACGTCTGCCTTTAGACACCTTTCAAACCGCGGTCTCTTCCCTGACTAACACTCAGGCAGAATACCTCTAAGTAGTAATTGGCGCTCCATCTAACAAGATGTTCAACCTCAGCGGGGGACGAAAATCTGCTACCTCTTAGTGGTCTTTGTGCAGTTTAGCAGAATTGGCGTTATCAGTTGGGTTCTACTACAGAGCGTGCCAATTCCTGTGGGAACCATGGCGACGTTTAAGTGGTCCAGAAGTCACAATATCCTTTCCACCATGCCAATCTCGCCTCACTTTGCGTCTTTTGTAGAACGGATCAGAACCTGGGACGTGCAAAGCTACGGAGGAGCTGCGTCCATTATTCTTGCCGCCTCAACCGCCAGATTCGGATCAATCGTCTACCTGGTAACTTCCAGCCTGAGTACCCCGCATTGTTGTGGGCCCCATATGTATTGGGACAACAAGCTTTGCTGGATTGGCCAATTTACGAGTAAAGCAAGGAGACCGATGAGATTCAAAGCATTCAGTATGAGATCGAGACATATGACCGTCCCCCATTCGATAAATTGATTCTAAATCTTGGGTATGGGACCTTCTGGACTCATTGCTCTATACAGTACTCTTAGCTAGCTATGGATTGCAAATACCCACTCTAGTCAAGTTGTTACCACTGGTAGACACACATATATTAGGATTATCATCCAGGTGATGAGCGATTGGCTTCCAAGATCAGCTTGGCTTATAAGAGGAGACGAACCCACCCGATCTGTGACCTGAGAATACGCCAATCGTATGCATGCAGATTTGCTGGGCAAGCTCAGGGCACCGATCCGCCTCTCAGCAATCAAACAGGTAGACTTGAGGCCGCACTTATGCCAACTGGCAACTTTTTTTACATATGTTCTGGTCCTTCTATGAGAGGCCTGTCTGCTTTGGAAACAGTTATGTTATAAACGTGCGCTGGCGCGTCCTGGTGTACCACTATTTATCTGTTTAATCAAATTCCCGGTCATTATCATTTTTGTCAGTTGGAAATGCGGCTTAGTTCCTTCAAGTCAACAGTGATGTTGAAGGCCTGGGCTAGATTGGCTTGCGAAATGGGCGCCGCTCATGTGGACTGGGATATTGTCCCAATATTAGCTTGTAAGCCTACCCAGAATATGGCATACATGACCAGGTGGTTAATGGCAATGCGAGCCGAGTCGATTCCGAGTTCTTCTACGTGCTGTTGTACCCAGCAGCGTAGCAATCTTCGATCGGTGCAGTGAAGGGACATTCAGGCGCAAGTCTGTACTCGATCGTGGCGCAAATGGCGTCATAGTCGCGGACGAATTCGAGCAGGCCGCTTAAGGCGCAAAAGCAATTGCCCATAATCATGCCTCCACCATGGATGTGGTAAATGGGTGGTCGATTCTGTGGCACAGAGCCTGGCGGACCCTCCTTGCGGAAGATCGAGAGGATCAACGTATTTTGTTCAGGGCCGAGGAAAATGTGCTCTTCATGAGTGACTCCCGGAAGCTGTAATCTCTGACTGGCGTCTGGCCACGTCTGATTAACTCACCATAGTCTGGAAGGAGGGATTCGAGCTCGCGGTCGAATGGTAGCTTTGATTTTGGAGCCATTGTGTCTGTATGAGAATTGTTGAAAGTGCTATGGGCTAATAGGAGAAAGATGACAGAGAAACTGTGCTTTTATGGTCATATTCTTTCAGATGAGTGAATGAGGTGGATAGATGACCTGAACCTATGATGTTGACAATTCCCTTTGGGGCTATAGAGGTTCTGTTTGCATTGCAGTGTCATTCCTATGTCAGTGGCATGAGACAGAGACATTGTGACTGCCATAATGCAAGTTTCTGAGGATGACAGACGGCGGATATCAACGGTCCTACAGTGAAGACATAGGACATACTGAGGCTGCCGTTTCATCAGAAGGTCTTAATGCGGTAAGTCCGACAGCATGAAGGTAGGGACCGACTACCGAATGAGAGCGGATGAGCTCATCTTAATGGACTCAACTATTCTCTATGACTATCCAATCCCATCCGTCATCCGAAACTTAGCTAATTTAGCGGACCAAACTCTCATCATGAGGCGCCATGTTCACTTTAGGTATCCAAGCCAAATTGACCACCAACGCACTCGACACAAGGACAAGATATAAAAACTGATCAAGTCCACAATGGCCCGGTCTAATCCAATGCACTACAGCAAGAACTCGTCAGGTTATAGAGCTTCATTCGCTCCTTCTAATGTAGCATTCAACTAGTCTGATTGGGGCCATCGACAAAGACGTTAAATTGCGCCTGAAATTGCTTATTTCAGGACTGAACCTCTATTTCTCATATTGTGACAGACCGAAATGGAATACTCACAGATGTGTTACGTATATCGTATGATATGAGTCTGTGCCAGGTGTAAATAGTGCGATTGCTGCCTGCCCTATAGAAAAATAGCCAAATTACTCTACACTGAGATCATGTATTGGTTCCCCAGTCCCATCTAGTCAGTGGGCGCCCGATAGGTAGATTCGGAAGCTTTCCGCTCGGGCCACACACCACACAGCCTTGCTGGAAGGTGAGAGTAGTTAGTAGGCAACAAGAACGATATGGTGTGACGATAGCCTCACAGGTGCTTAATTGCGGTGTAAAACATAGACTATGCTCCGTTGCAAACGGGTACACTCTTCGACTCTGACATAAAAAGGCACTTCCTGGAGCTCAAGTGATATAGCTCCGACAGAAGCATTGCACTGTTCACTTATCTAGATATGGCCCCATCTCAAAACCTCACCATTGTCCCAAAAAATGCCTACGTATACCTTTCCTTGGCAGTGGAGATCTTGGAGCTTACCCTGTGCTTAGCTGTCTTCCTAGTCCCATTGTTTGCTGTCATTGTGAACTAGTATATCAGATAGTGGACTACATTCAATTTCCAATCTGCTAACACTGTTACTCTCGTTGAGTCGTTACTCCAGTTGAGGTCTACGAACACCCACTATTGAGGACCATTTCCTTACAGCCGCAACGACCTTACAACCATGACTCGAGCAATGCGAAAAATCGCGCAGGCGCCTTGGCTGCTAGCCCGGTGAGCAGAGTATTAATAAAAGGAAAATCTTCCGCTGTTGTTAAATTGAGAGTCATTTTTTACTTATTGCTTCCTTTGCCTCTTGATCCTCTGTCTTCCTAAAATCTTCAATGCAGTCTTGGATCCTGTTTTTTGTTCTCATCTCGGAAATTAGCGCCATTATCATTCGGCTGGGTTCAGGAGAATGGTCAACGCACGCAAAATTGTCTCTTCTTTGCTCGCATTTGGTCTTATTGACCGATGCTGTGCAAACGACAATGTCACAACAGTGAGCTACACACCCTTTACAGAGGAGTGGGCTGGTCTGGGAACCAACCTGACCGTGACCTTTGATATTGTGAGCGACGACTATCTCTCCCTTTACACCAATAACACCCTGGAGAAGCGTACCGGTATCACGACCGTTGTCGCGGCAGCAACTATCGTGAATTCGATTTCGAGCGTTATCCTTGCGGCGAACGCAGGTCTTGAGATCTACGAGGACATTGCCGCCATAATCAAGAGCAATTCAAATCAGAACTCATGCTCCTTGGTGTATAGCACTGACTCTGACGGCACCTATGTCGAAGGGTATGCGTACGAGGCTACGACGAGTGGTGAGAACTGCGACACGACGGCTGAAAAGAAGACTATCCTTGCGGCGGTCGAGAAGTGCGCCAACAAGCTGAACGCCCAGGGCGCGATTCGGGGTTGCTGCACCATGAACCACGGCGGTACATGGACGGGACATCTGCGTTTGACTGCTAGTCCTTCACTTTACCCAGCACACACAGTCACATGTTAAAGTCCTGCTGCTGTTGCGATGTACGACATTCAGTAGTATCATGTCTCATTTTCGAATTCGTTTCATGCCCCCACAATGTGGCGGTGCGGGAATTGACAGTTCTTTGATTCTCGAGGTATTTTTAAGTTGATTCGCTCTAACTTGCCCTGCAGGATATTCATGTCTTTGTCTAAGTCTGCTAGAGAATAGGAAATCCAGGAATTTTGTCTGAATCAATTGTTAGCAAATGTGGCTTGACTACAGTCGTCGTACTGTAGAAAAATCCAGATAAGCAACCAGTCCTGTGGGTCGTTGCCGCGTGGCGGATACGTATGTCCTCCCACCCAAGCCACATTTGTCAACTCCGGACGAACTCAGTGGATATTTAGCCTTTTGAAGTCTTGAATCATTGGCAGCAGTGACAAAAATAGTCCGTGTAGAATCGTAAGAGGATTAGACTGCGGACGAACTTGTGGCCAAGGACGGAATCCACTGACGCGGACCAATATATATGCTTGTATTTCCACGTTTATTGTTCCCCGAAAGAGACACAGATTTGGAAAAGTTATCAGCCACAAGATGCGAGTGGCCGTTCTATTTGCTGCATTAGCAGCGATCCAGCTGGTGGTTTGTCATTCTGAACTCAGTGGAGCCGGAGACCATAACCTGTCAAGGGCAACGAAGATCGCTCCTCTAGGAGAAGCGAATCCCGATGACAAGGATCTCTCGAAGCGGGAAAGACGATTCGGAGATTGGATACTAAAGCGCGATACTACGACAATTGCGGATGCAGTTGCATCAACTACCGCTACTGAGTCTGTGGCAACGACCAGCAGTTCCGATGTGACAACAACCTCAGAATCCACGACTACTTCGAGCACCTCAACGACCTCTTCATCATTCACAACATCCACTGCAGCAGCTACGACAACCTCAACTACAACATCCAGTACATCCAGTACCACCACATCATCCTCATCCGCATCCACAGCTGCCTCAACAACCACAGCAACGATGACAACGACTACCTCAACGACCACACCAACTACCACCGAATCCGCCGAATTAAAAGAATGGAACCACCGGGGGACCATCGCCGCTATCGTCACCTTCAGCATCCTCGGTTCCTTCTTCCTAGGGGCCTGCATCTTCCGATGCATCCACAATCGGGTGAAGCAAAGGCGCATCGACGCGAGAAACCAGAACGATAGAGAATCTTCGCTCTCCATGTTGGCCCTGACTCCCGAGAAGGGGAAATCGGCGAGCCAATTGAAGTTGGATCGCGAGTCAATCATGTTCTGCGACGAAATGAGGTCGCAACTGGAGAGCGTGCCGTCGATGTCGGGGCAGTCGTATTGGCAGGGGTCTGTGGCACATTCGTCCATGCCGTCGGAGGATATGGGTCGGTCGACGAGTAGTGGGAGGCATACGCCGTTGGGTGTGAGGAAGCATCATGGGCCAGCGGAGGTGTAAGGAATCATGAGATTGTCCGGTAGCGACATCGACCTATATGTCTATTTCTATTGTTATGTGTGTTCACCACAGGAGTTGTCGTAAAATGACGGATGAGACGAAGACTACGCTTCATGCAGATCTAGACGATGACATAAAAATACAGTTAGCCAATCCAACCATGTCATAGACTCTTAATCATCTTCCAAATACCAGTCAACTACCGTCGTCAGCCCCCGACTCTTCGCTTCCCGACGATCCGTCGACGACGACAAGACTCATTTCATGAAGAAGTTCCTCGACCTCGACCTCGCCGGCCTTGATTGCCAGATCCAATGGTGTCCGACCCTTGTGGTCTTTCAATTCAGCTTCCGCGCCGTGCCCCAGGAGAAAGTGCACATCGTCGCGTAGTCCGGCTTCGGCAGCGATGTGTAGTGCGGTCTGACCGTACATATCTACTGCGTGGATGTTGGCGCCTTTGTTCACCAGCAACCTCATAACATGGTTCTTCGCTTTGACTGCTCGATGCAGCGGAGTCTTCTTGTAATCGTCCTCCATCTCGAGTTCCGCCCCGTTCTTCAAAAGAAGCTCCACCATCTTGCGATGGCCGCGTTCTACTGCCTTGTGCAGCGGTGTTTCTCCACAGTGGTTGGTCACGTTGATATCCGAGTCTTTCTCTAGTAGCAACCCGACGAGTCGTCTGTGGCCTCCCAACACTGCGAGATGAATGGGTGTGTCTCCTGTGCTGTCGGCTGCTTCGGGGTCTGCACCATTGGCCAGGAGCATCTCGACTATCTGGTCGTGTTCGTGAAGCACGGCTAGATGCAGTGGTGTTGTACCATCCTTGGCTGCAGCATTCACCTGTGCACCTCTCTGCAGGAACAGGGCGGTCAGATCCAGATCACCATCCTTCGCTAAAATGTGTAGTGTAGTCCTCCCTTTGGTATCTCTCGCGTTGACATTAGCACCTTTCTCAAGCAGCACATTGAGCATTTTCATCCCGCGCTTGTTGCGATCGTATACCACCAACGCCAACAGAAGCGGGAGACCAGACTCTCCGCACGGTGAATCGATGTCAGCGCCCTTCTTGATCAAGTATTTCACTATATCCGCATGCCCCTTTCTGCCGGCCTGGTACAGCGGCGTGCCGTGTGACCCCTTTTCGGCATTAGAAGAAGGCTGTGCCTCTCTGTCCGCCCCATGGCGCACGAGCAGTCGGACCACCGGTAGGTGACCATTGCGAGCAGCCCACCACAACGGCGTCCTCCCGACCGCATCAGCAGCATTGACATTGACTCTTCTCGACCCGATCAGTAATCGAACCACCTCTTCGTGTCCTTTCTCCGCGGCCCACAGCAACGGCGTCCGCCCATGATTATCCTTGACGTCCGGATCGGCATTCACCTTGAGAAGCTGTACCACAAACGGCTGGTTCCCCTGTTCCACAGCCCAATAGAAGGGAGTCTGGCCATTGACGTCGGGGATGTCAGGATTGATCTCACCACGAGCGAGTAGACGATTCATAATCCCTTCGTGCCCATTTTTCACAGCCAAGTACAACGGCGTTTGTCCATCGGCACCAGCGGCGTTCGGGTCAACTTCAGCGCGTCCGAGTAAAGCGCCCGCAATCGCTTCGTTTCCATTCTTCACAGCCCAGTATAGCGGCGTCTGCCCCGCAGCGTCCGGCGTATTCGCATTGAGATCCGCCCGTGCGAGTAACTGTTCGATAATACCCTGGTTTCCACTCTTCACGGCCGCGTACAAGGGCGTCTCGCCGTTGGCATCGGAAATATTCGGGTTGACATGTTCAAGGGCGACTAATTTCCCCACGACGCCTGCATGTCCATTTTTGACTGCCCAACACAGCGGTGATTGGCCTGTTTTAGCATCCACCGCATTCACGTCTACTGCCCCGGTCTCGAGCAAAATCTGGAGGACGCTCTCATGGCCACCCTCTGCGGCTAGGGAGACTGCATTCCGGCCATCTTCGTCCTTGAAGTCGAGACGCACACCGGGGGTGCTGAGGAGGAGTTTGACGATCGTATCGTAGCCCTTGCTTGCGGCGAGAAAGAGCGCCACTTCCAACTTGCCTGGTACGACCTTTTCTTCCGTCATCTCGACAACGCAGTGTTATCGCCTGCTCATAAGTGAGCATTCACTTGTCGTCAGATGAATTAGGAGTACGAAAAAAGGGACGCAGAGTGGCAAGCGATGACAACATAAATCACCGTCCTGAGCAGACCCGCATCTCTGTGCCGCCACGTGGGGGGCTTTCACTGGTCGCAAGGGAGTAAAAGGCCGGCAGGATTTCAGGTAAGGTGACAATTGTTCCTGATTTGGTAAGTTGTCATACGTTCGTTCGTTGTTTGCTGTTATTTGGGCCTTCGGGTTCATTGGGCTGCATGGTTTCACGAATGTTCTGGAATCCATTCGTCAAGGTCACTCAATACTCTGTTGCTGGTCCGAATCGGGGATCCCGGTTCATCGCGTCGTACGACGGTCGATCCATGGATGGTGAGATGGCATATTGGGGACGGATCGTGCCTGCTGAGCCCTAGGCCCACTATACGATCAATCTGGCATCAATTTCATAAACCAATGCCTCCTAAGATATCTACATACCTGTTAAAACACTTGTCTCTCTATCTATGAGCAATTACCCCGCAGTCTGGGAGGATGAGGGGCACAGATGCCGCTATCCCGGTTCAGGAAAGTTCCCAACAAGGCAAGTCTTTTTACTTCGGACAAATTCGGATCATAGTTTAGAGTAGGATTTGAGCCCTGTCTCCTCGTCAGAGAATTGGACCACACAGGCTAGCCAGTAGTCCTGGGTAGGTTGAACCGAGGATAGGCTGATCTGACATACTAAAGGCATGATTGAGAGCGCCCACCTACTGTTTACCTTTGACCATATTGTCGTTGGTTTTGTTTAGCTCACGCGGAAAGTTCGTTTTTCGTTGTCCAATTCTGAGACTGGATTCTGTTGTTGTATGAAGAACGGGACAGTAGAGATTAATATTTATATTTACGTTAGACGTTGGCTAGTAGTCTGTTATCTGTCAGGCATAGATTCGGGGCCTCGGACAACACAGATAATGTATACCTATATTCGTAGTGGAGAGACAATCTCATTATGTCAGATGATAAGTACGTGAAGGACAGTGGATTGTAGCATGTCGCAACCTCATTCAGGCTTGCTCTAGGTTTAGTATTGCGTATTGACTTGACGTGCAATATGTTTTCGGTTACCGCAACCAGGTAACATTTACCATCATGAGAATCTAGCGAGACATCTTTGGATGTCCGATGAATTAGAATAAGCCAAACACACAAGACTAAAGTTTCCAAATCAAGCAATGCAATGGCAGATATAGCCTGCCGATTTCTGATGATTTCAGCGAAAATACTGTTCCATAGACAATCCTCATCATGTACCTTGCCGATCCGCCTATTATATAAGGTAAAATAACCTTATATAGGGATGTAGGTAGACCTAGGCAGGTGTTCTGGGTAACCCAACTGAAACATATGTCAAACCCAACTTAGGCTGGGTTTTGGGCTTAAGGGGGGTGTTCCAGGTTGGGTTCTAGGCTTTTATATAGAACCTAACTAGGTTTTAGGTAACCTAGTTAGATAGATAAACTAGACAAATATTAAAGATTATATAATATACATTAATTATATAGTCCTATTTTATATTTATTAGTATTTAAATTATATATCTAAGTAGGAGAGTAATTATTCTAATTATCCTTCTATTTCTTCTCTATTATAGGCTAGAATTCTAGTACAGGGCTGTACTCTAACTATCCTAATAGGCTATAAAGGAATAAAGTATAATTACTAAAGAAGGAAGAAGCTAGGTATAGGTAGCTAGTATTATATATAGTAGGCAAGGCCTGCTAAATAATTAAGCTTACTAAGCACTTATAATCTATCTTAGGCACTAATAAGGTCCTATCTAAGGTAGATACTAGCTTAAGATCCTATCTAAGGTAGATACTAGCTTAAGGTCCTGTCTAAGGTAGATACTAGCTTAAGGTCCTGTCTAAGGTAGACACTAGCTTAAGGTCCTGTCTAAGGTAGATACTAGCTTAAGGTCCTATCTAAGGTAAACACCAGCTTAATTATATAACCCTATACTAATTAATATACTAATTAACTCTTACTATATAACTATAGCTATATATATAATATAGTATATATTATAGGTTAGCCTATGATAATAATAACTAATAATAAAGGAACTAATTATTCTTATACCTTATATACTTCTAATTTCATCTAGAGATATACTATTATATATTAGATAAAGAAAGAACTACTTTATTATCTAATAGAAATACTTCCTAGCCCTCTTACTCTCTATTAGATACTATACTTCTTTATCTCTTACCCTATATATACTTAGATAGCTGCTAGGTAGCTAGCTAGTCTATACTAATCTCTAGACTATTATCTTCTTTATTATTACTAATTAGCTTAAGAGTATCTTAAAGCTATTAAGTATCTTTCTCTTTATTAAGGGCTTGCTGTTCCTTATTTAAAAGATATTATTTTATAAAGAAAAGCTCCTTCTCTTCTACTTTAAACCTTAATATATATATAAATAGTATTAGATCTTAGATTATTATAGAATTAAGCAAGCCTTAATAATAATAATAGATATCTTAAATAAAATTAAAAAGCTGCTTAACACTAGCACTAATAGTAGGTATTAAAAGTATATTATAAGCTATTTTTATAAGAGCTAGAAATTTATATTTATACTCTTTCTAGAATATCTATAGAGTAATTAGGGCTATCTCTATTAGATAATATTAATTAGTAGAGTATTAGCAGGAATAATAATATTACTTACTACTCTTAAGGTATTATATTATCTTATTAGTACTTACTAATTAATTAAAATTAGAAGTAAAAAGGATATTAATCTTTAATATTTAAATACCTAAAGATAATTGTCACACCCTGGGATCCGTCTCTGCTGTTCTCTGCTAGCCAACTACTTTGGGAATGGG